ACACTACGCTACACTACACTACATTACACTACACTACATTACACTGAATGACACTGCACCAGAGATAGACAGGTAGACAGATAGACAGATAGATAGATAGATAGACAGATAGACAGGTAGACAGCTAGACAGATAGACAGATGAAAGAGAGAGAGAGATAGATAGACAGACAGACAGACAGACAGATAGATAGATAGATAGATAGATAGATAGGTAATTAGATGGAAGAGAGAGAGAGAGATAGATCGATAGATAAATAGATACATAGATAGATAGATGGATGGATAGATAGATAGGTAGGTAGGTAGGTAGATAGATAGTCAGAGAAAGAGAGAGAAAGAGAGGAGACCTCAATCACCTTTCGATCCATCAGTGGCTTCGCTCTGCCATCCCTGATTCACAACAACCAACCTCTCCTATAGGTTTCCTATTTTTGAGACTTCCGCCACCGCCTTGTGCGGTACTACTGGTATATAATGGATTATAATATATTATAATGGTATATATTGGTATTGTTTGCAGGAACCTCCAAGAATGACTGCTAAAATTCCACACTTTCCGCGATATGTTCAACGGAAAAAAAACCACGTCACTGCAGGAAACCTGGGAGGATCGTACGCTAGTCGTCCGGATTAGCAGCCTGAAAGCAGGGCATGGCCAACGAAAAGGGGCCATGGGGAGTCTCTGAAAATTGGGGTATATCTATCCCAATTTATAGCAATTTTACTAGGGAAAACGATGATTAACCAGTGGATGGAATTCAGACAAAATCGTTAACCAACCAATAAACGGACCAGCTAAAATTTGGATGAAACCAACCAATTCTGGTAATTCAGCCACCCAAACATGGGGTTCGGAAGTTTAGAGCCAGGAAACCAGAGCATAACAGCCAAAAGGAATGGGAATACAGGAATACAATACACCCACGAAATCAGTGGCTGCCCAAAATTGGGATCTCTTAAAATGCACCATTCCGGATGTTTTTTTGAGTATGAAAGAAGTGATGAAGGAGGTGCTTCAGCTTGGATAGGAAGACCAGTGACCAGAAAAGCATCGCTTGCGCACAAGTAGATTATGATCTCACTGTATACAAAGAATTGGACGAAGGGAACATTGAAAGCAGCAGAGCCTATAGATTTCAATGTGGGGGGGTAGTTTCACCATGTTTTCAACTGTCTCGATTTTTCCTGCCAAAACCAATCCATTGAATGCCATTGATCAGTAGCTATGGTTGTGATCCAAGCGACTTAGCGACATCATGGGACCGTCAGGTCTTGTATCCAATGATTGTTTGCTCATTGGTGATCGCCTATGTCCTGTTCTCCGTTTCTTGATCAGACGGTCCTAAGGCAATGGAAGCACCAAGACACTGGAAGCCGCAGAGCCTGCAACAATGATGGCAGGGCGGTGCGTGCCATGTCAGAATTGGAAGGGTGAGGAAAGCATCTTTCTGGTTTTTCCAAACGGATGGTTCCAATCTAAACAAAGATTTAAGTATCAGTATATAGGGGTTTTCGGTTACAATTTTCCCTTCATACAATTTTGTGAAAGCTTTCCTACGAAGCTGCAGGGGTCTGTTGTTCTGACACTTTCATAGAACACCCATGTATTTGATGTGAAACTATATGGTTCCGTGTATATATATATTATATTAATATATGATTATAATATATATGTATATATGTACGATTATATATATATATATATATAATATTTCTGTGGAAAATCGACCCGCACGTTGAACTGGCTCTGTAGCAACTTGCTGCAGCTCTGCAAGGCAGACGTGGATTCATCAAGATGATGGATGGATGGATGGATGATGGAAAAATGCACCAAAATGATGGCAAAAACATTGAGCGATGGGAGAAAAATCATGAAAAATAACATTGCATATCGCTTGTACAAGTTGGACATGATTATAGCTTTGCAATTTTAAACAAGTTTGTCTTTTTTGAGCTATTTCTCCATTTTGAGAATTTTGCCAATTTTGGAGACTTTGGCATTTTTTCCAATCGCTGTGGACACGTTGGCAATTTTTGGCAATTTTTTCATTTGGGCAATTTTGGCAGCTTTTGGCTGACATTTTTGGGCGTTTTGGTTCTTTGGATGATTTTGGATGAATTTTGCCACTTCTCGACATTTTTGGCAAGTTGGCCCCGTTGGCAATTCGGGGCCAACTTGGCAATTTGAAATAAACAAATGATCATCATCAGCATCAGCCACGCCATCATACTGTGGATGGTTGCGAAATCCTGCACCACCTGGGATGGTAGAACAGCTATAAATACCCTCTGGTCAACTAACATAACTATGGAAAGATCCACCATTTTCAATGGGTAAATCCACTATTTCTATGGCCATTTTCAATAGCTATTTTGGCATAACCAGAGGGTAATGGGATGTTTACCACCTATATTAGCTGGATCGCAACTGGATCGCCGAGAGGTGCTGTCCTTTTCGGAACTGGCACCTGGAGAAACCGGCACCGTGCGATTCAGTTCGGCAGGACGGGCCCGGCCCCGTTGCTGAAATGATGCCAGTGAATCCTCTGCTGGGATGACGTGTACGCCTTTATATATATATAGTTCACATATATGAATAACATATATATATATATATATCATTATGAATATGGTATCGGTATATCGTATATTCTGTATATATATATATATACATGGAATTGTATGGATATATCCAGACATTAAAGTCATTGAATCAATCTGCCGAGGAGGAGAATTCTTTGGCAATGCCACCAGCGGTTGCCATCACGCAGGACACATCCGGAGAGCGGCCGGAATTCTATTGGTGTGGTATGGATTTAGACTATGAACATGTTGGTAAAGCTTGAAACATTGAGGTTTAGCAAAACCAAATGGTAAGATTTAAGCGCTGAAAATGGTCTGTACATGTCTGTACTACTGTACTAACACCCCCCATGTTTTGCAATCTTTTTACCGGCAGACTCTATAGGTGTTTTCCCCCAAAATTATAGACAAACCCAAGTGGTGGTAGCTGCCAGGTCTTGGTTCGAAAACCATCCATTTTTTGCTAAAGCAACGTTTCTTGTCATCCGAAACTGAAGACGTTTTTTTTTTTGGATTGATATGGCGGTCCGGATCAATCGCTACGAACGCCTTTTTTGTTAGGGGGATGAACATCCATACATCTTAATTATTTTGATAATACATACTGGTGCCACCAGCCCAGCTCCACAAATGGATATGGCGGATATGGGATGGAATTGGTGTGTGATTATTTTGATTACCCTCTGGTAAACGTTTACATAACTATGGAAAATCACCATTTTCAATGGGAAAATCCACTATTTCTATGGCCATTTTCAATAGCTATTTTGGCATAACCAGAGGGTATATTCCCATTAAATCCCATTAAACCACCATTAAACCACCATTAAACCACCATTAAACCCCCATTTTGGCATAACCAGGCCGGGTATTTTGATGTGTTCACGACTGGGACGACCTAGGGTGTTCACTGACTCATCGTTTATCAAACGTCAGAGGAGTTGCGGAGTTCTCCATCCAGGGCCAACGTCTTTTGATGGCCGAGTCGCTTGGAGACGAGCGCGCCAAAAGCTTGGGGAATCCAACATGGCGGAAAATCAGCTGGAAAATCATGGAAAAATCATAGGAAAACCATGAAACATATGGATACATATGGGAAGCTCCCTTGTAAAAGTGAAGTTTATAGCGGGGAACATCAATGAACTCAATGATAGATTTTCCAGCTAGCCACGTTTGACTGCCGGGGGCTTTTGTTTTTTAATCGTCTTGGAATTGGAGGTGCTACAACCCATTTCAACTCCTAGTGAACCTGCATGGGCCTGCGGTTCCAGTGAACTAAGTGGATAGAAAAATAGCAGAACATAGCCCAACAGTACCCCTTGCGCCCCCTGATTTTAAAGTAAGATTGCAGGTTGATATAACTTGCGAGAGGGGCTCTGATTCCAAAAAGAGGTCCAATTACAAAATACGAAACGGGCGGTCGCATTGTAGGACCTTAAAATCACCCCTTGTCGAGGTACGACTGGAATTCGAAGGGGTATTGGATCTATCTATATACATATATAATTTATTTCAAACCTTAGTCTCTTAAATTTGGATTCCTGTTGATTTCATATGTCCAGGGAAAGAACTATGGAAAGAACTATGTCGCAATCCATGGAAATAAGGGGTGTTTCCACTAAAAATGTCACCCAATGAAGAAACCCACCACTTTGAACATATTGGTCCGTAAGTTGGAAAGGAAAACCGTATACAACAATATACAACATCTGTGTAATTCGGGGCCCCATATTTCTTCAAAAAGGAGAACACCAAAGAATGCATGTGCGCAAGCTCCAACTAGAAAAAAATCATAAAAGTAATATTACGATGTGACCCTGTATCCTGTAAAATTGGTTAACTAGTGCATTGATGAGTGTATGTATGGCTGTGTGCTCATGTGCATGAATGAACTGCAAATGCAAATCCACAGTTTTTAAGTATTGTTTTCGGTGCTGCGAAGACCACGGTAAAACTTAGGTAAAACATGGTGAAACAAATTTATCAACTGCAAACGGAATCCTACGTATTTGTAGCAGATCAAAGATGTGTTACTGTATTTCTGTCGCTACGTTGTTGTGCATTGGTCCGTAGCAGTGTTGCAGTAACAGATTACAATCATTATAGATATGTCATTTTATCAAATACAACGCTTAAACTTTATTGTTGCGTTTTATACAAACAAACCCCGTCGATATACTTCCAGACTTTGAAACATGCACGAACAAACAAGAACATCTAATTCATCTAAAAACTCAAACAGTCTTATATAAATCGTAAATACAAAGCAAGTAAAGTAAAGCAAACATCAAAAATATACTTATAAAGTTAAACAGTTGAAGTCAAATCGAGAAGTAAAGTCAAAGTTATGTTACAAGTTAAAGGTTCTAAGTTTTAGTTACAAGTTGTAAGTTCAAAGTTAAAAGGTTACAAAGTTATAAGTTACACAGTTTTTAGTGTCAAGTCATAACTAGAAGCTCTAAGTTGTAAATTAACAGTTATAACAATGTGTTTCAATTTTAAAACAGTTCCTAAACCTTATAAATTGATTTATTGAAGTTTGATAGTCAAGAGTTATGGATTATGAGTTGTATTTTACAAAGTAGCTATAAGCTACAAGTGTGTATATTTGGTTTTTATCAAGTTATATACAAGTATAAAAGTAAGTTAACATATAAGCCATTATTTGGGGTTTGCAGAACGGTTCGGAACGGTTCCGGAGATTTCCCCAGAACGGTTCGGAACGGTTCCGGATACTTCCAAAACCTCAGAACTATTTAGAACTATTTAGAACGGTTCCGGAACGGTTCTGGATTCAAAGCCTATAGACCCCAGAACGGTTCGGAACGGTTCCGGAGACCTCCATATAATAGCATATTTTAACTTGTATAATAGCATATTTTGACTATATAATTATTTAGCTTTAATACATAGAGTTTGAACAAATAAACACATACTAGTACCATAAGCAATGATGATTCGACACAAGCGATACTTTCAAACGGATACTTCAATACAAACTACACAGTTGTATGGTTTTGTTAGAAAAGATTCCACAGAACAGTTTTCAAGACAGGTAAGATTTTGAAAGGGGCCACGCCTTCCATGAACAAACAGCTGAGAAACTTCCAGCCTTTTGTAGTCTACATCCAGTTTCACCTTCTCCCTTGTGCTCAGCATGCCTTTGCACTGCCTGTTCAAAGACTTAGGCGGAGAAGTTGCCTTCCCTTTGTCGTTTTTCTGACTCCTTTCTCTTGTAGCCTTGGCCCTTGGAGCCACAGGGCGGCTCTTTGGAAGGTTTTGAAAATGCGAAACAGGAGGAACTGCTCTTGACCGTTTTTTTGGGGGGTTTGGAACTGTGGAGAAATATCTCCGTGCAAAGTTGAGGTCTGCGGAACCGTTCCGAACCGTTCTGGAGGTCTGCAGAACCGTTCCGAACCGTTCTGGAGACCTCTGCGCTAAGAAAATTGTCACGTAAATTGGTTCTCTGTGCCAAGAATCCCGGGAATAGGAAGGCACGGACAAGGTTGAGCCATTCCGGATGCATTAGTCCCAACCTGAAAGTAACCCATAATCACCCTCAAGAACCCCACCGCTAGCGCTATCTATCTATCTATCTATCTATCTATCTATCTATCTATCTATCTATCTATCTATCTATTCTGAAAAGTATCAAATATGGTCCAAGAAATTATCGGCAACTATATACAATATAGTTTGTTTCTTGTATGGGTAGTAGCACGGTAGTAAGGTAGTAGCAACAGTCTTGCCAGAGTGACAAAATACCAACAATATAGCCTGGATGTTGCACTGCTACCGCTACTGCATATTTTTGATCCAGTCCAGAACTGGTGGGGAAAAAGACAGCAATGGGAATGCAGCCAACAACCAGCATTGCCTCTGTTCTTTTTTTGGAAAGGGAAGTCACATAATCCCAACAGCCTGAACACATTGCAGAAGCCAGCTCAGCGTGCCCATACACACATGGACTGCCTTCCAAATAATTGAAATTACATATTGATAGAATTCGACTTCAGCGCCTGTTCCTTCCACCTAAGTATTTCTCCAATTGCGCTTAAACCACCTGAATCTTCCCTCAAACAAATGCAGCATTATAAATTAAACCCACTATCTGTATGCGGGTTGTGTATTTATTCAAGATTTCAAGTATTTGGGGCAAGGTTGTTAAGTAATCAAAGCTGAATTTAGCCCAGTCTCACACTAGAAAATTAATTAGCTGCAAATAGAATGCCACTTCGGCGTTTGTTTCTGTCGCCTGAGTATGTCTCCCATCTTGAAGAAAAAGCAAACCATATTTTCACCCAAATGCCAGCCCCAGACTAGAATTTGGAATGCATAATCTACTTAAGCGCACATAGAATTCTACTTAGGCGTCAGTTTGTGACGCCTAAGCAAAATTCTATTTGCGCCTAAGTAGATTATGGATTATGTTTTCCAACAGCCCCAGACGAGAATTTGGAAGACATGGTCTAATTAGGCGCAAATAGTAATAGAATTCTACTTAGGCGTCAGTTCGTGACGCCTAAGCAGAATTCTTTTTGCGCCCAAGTAGATTATGAATTTTGTCTTCCAACAGCCCCAGACTAGAATTCTATTTGCGCCTAAGACTATGAATTATGTCTTCCAACAGCCCCAGACGAGAATTTGGAAGACATGGTCTAATAAGGCGCAAATAGTAATAGAATTCTACTTAGGCGTCAGTTCGTGACGCCTAAGCAGAATTCTTTTTGCGCCCAAGTAGATTATGAATTTTGTCTTCCAACAGCCCCAGGGTAGAATTTGGAATGCATAATCTATCTGGCGCAAATAGAATTCTACTTAGGCGTCAGTTCGTGACGCCTAAGTAGAATTTTATTTGCACCTAAGATTACCTAAGTAGATTTAGTCTTCAAAAGAAAGACCGAAACATAAGTTCACCCCAATCTCACAATCAGATTTTTATATCTATAGACTGTGGATCAGATAGGTATAAAGTATCCCTGGCAAGTTCTTGTTATTAGCAAAACTGAGTTCATCACCGGTGCACAATACAAATTCAATTTAGGTCAAGTACTTCACGACTTTGAGTGCAAACCCAGATTGATGAATCTGGATGTGTCCTCGCTGTGTGCATTGTTTTGTTTCTTTACTTCTTCAAAAGCTTGCTAATTTTCCCTTGACATGGTTTCTAACATCACCTTCTATAAGATATCCTTATGCCCTGGTTTCTTCCATAGTCCCTTCCATAGTTCCCTCCATGGTCCACAAGGCCCACAGGTTAAGAGGCTAAAGTTTGAAATAATATATAATCATATATAATATATAATATATATATATATAAAATATGTATATGTATATATATATATATTGTACGGTATAGTCATAATTATACACGTAGATTTCGACAATTATGGATACAATTATTGTATATACCTATATAGCCATAGTCAATAGTCATATGTGTTTATGGGGATAAAATCCAAGTTATATAATTCCAGTAATCAAACATGATGGCACTGGAAAATGTATCATTTCTGGATGATCCTCCCATCAAAATGGCCATTCAGTTCGGGATTTCCGGCTAGCCACGTAGACCCCGCATCGAGAAGACCCAGGTCGTGTCCTTTCGGTCACACCACGCTGAAGACCCATCGCTTTGTGGTGAGCTTTGAGCCTGGGAAAAGGACGGCGGAGCGCGCTTTGGGTGAATATATTTTTAAATTTTTTTGGTGGGGAACTTTATCAAGCAAAAAAGGGGGATTTACCCGTAAGACTTGAAGTTCTATCTGACCCAAGACTATCCAAGACTGGTGTTCGCAGATGGGAGTTTGCTGGGATTATCTGGGATTATAACGCATGATATCCTCATCTTTGGAAGCAGACTGTTTATTGCAAAGCGAGCAGCACCTCAGCTGTAGAGAGCAGCTAGATGCACCGGGGTGGTTGATAGCCCTCCGTCAGGACCATGCAAGAATTTTACAACGAGGTACAGCGGCTAGCGGTGGTTTTTTTAGGTGCTCCAGATTTGATCGACGTAGTGTGGTAAAGCAATGTCATAAACCATCCATGACTGGGAATGGTAACCATACCACCTATATACCACCTATATATAAAAATGGGGATTTTCCTGGGGGATGTGGGTTTATGGCATTGTTTTAACCACCTTACTATGAATTACCAAGCCCAAGCCGGTGACTTGCCAATCATAGATGGGCCGTTCCGTTACCAACATGGTTGACCGAGTCCACAATAGGCTGGGCTCAACCACCTGATAAAACCGTGTCACAGTTCTTCAAGGCAGTTGATTATATAGATCCGAGTTGAGTGTAAGGACCAAAGGGACTGAAACGATAACAGTCCTATAGGGGTGCATAAGATTGATGCTGTAGCATCTGGGCTCTTAGCAGCCTTGCCCGTGGTGGCGAGAGGACCAGGTCCAGCACCTGAGAATGGTGTGAGCTGCCCGGGATTCCGGAGAGATGCCTGGGAGGTGGGTTGGTGGCCCTGGGTCACTGGCCTGCCCCCAGAGAGGCCAGTTCATCGAGGCTAAGGTCTTCGATGACAACAAGGAAGATCAAGGGACAATCTTCCTAGAGGTGAAGCGGCTGTTCGGCACGGGCAGCTCTGGAAGAACGATCCTTGGGGACCTGGTGACCGCCACCGACGAGTACTACAGGTACTGGGCGGCTTCCCCGGAAGGAATCCCATCCACTGTGGATGGAAATTATCACCTGTGTCGAGGTGACCCAAGATCATGTGTCGGAGGAGCCGCAGGCACAGTGGTGGTCCACTTGGGAAAGTGGAGAACATGGCTGGCAGACGGGAAGGTCCCAAGCCTTTCTAAAGAGGCAGCAGCAATGATGAGCCGATATTTCAAAGTGGCCCGGACTGGTGATCCGGAGAAAAAGCCGGCAAAAAGTGGCCTCCCTTGGGGAGAGGGTCAACTCAATATAGACAGAAGAAAAGAAACTGGCCCTGAAAAGGAGAAAGACAAGGAGGGAGGCCAAATGAAAGCCAAGAAGGCGCGCATCACCGCCATGGAGAAGGAACTGAGGGCCTTGAAGGCCGAAGTCGAAAAGGAAGAGGTGGCCCCGCCGAAGCGAAGCAGATCCAGAAAACCCCGTGACAAGCGACCCGGTAGGACGGGCGAGGAGATCAAGAAAAAGGAAGCCTTTGATGTGAAGGGCCTGAGAGGACAGGGGTCATCGGAGGACGTTAGCTCGGGCGAGACCGATGAAGAAAAGGAGGATGGCTCCAGCAGTGAGGAGGAAGAGGCCGTGCGCAAGGAGGCACGTGAGAAGAAGGAGAAAGAGATTGCAAAGAAGGCGAAAGGTAAGAAGAAGGTAAAGAAGAAGGACAAAGTTGAAAAGAAGAAGAAAAAGGACAAAAAGGTCAAAGACAGAGGGCCCTTTGGCATGGCTGCCACCGAAGCGTGGGAGAAAGAAACGTCTTCAAAAGAAGACTCAAGCGACTCTGACGCCTCAAGATCAGGGTCGTCTTTTCAAAAGGCCCCCTCCCTGACGTCTTGCCACATGAAGCTGGTGAGGTACGCCAAGCGACGCCCCGGAAGGCTGGCGGCCCGGTTACTCAAGAAAATGGAGAAGAGTACTGGGTTCGGGGGGGGCCGAAAACAAGTCGCTGAAAAAGACAGCCAGGGTGAAACCCGTCGCCCACATGTACTTCCTGGCGATCATGACGCCAGCGCTGCAAGCAAAGTGGACACAGCGCACACAGCGCGAGTTGAAGGTCGCGACCACCCTGCTCGACCTGGTAGTCGAAGGGAAAGGAGCAGAAGCAGGAGACATACTAGCACAAAGGATAAAAGCGCTAGAGAAGAGTGCTCAGGACAGCAGCCAGTGGGGGAAGGCGAAACACCTGGAGTTAGTGGAGGCGGACGACGCAGCCCTGGTCGACCCAGGAGAGGAGGAGATGATGGCAAAGGAGGCCGAGAGAGAGGACAAGACCAGGAGAGGCCCGGGATGGTCGGAACAGGAGCCGTGGAGGAAAGGCCGCGGGAAAGGCGCCCGCGGTCCGGATCCCCGGAGGAAGGGGAGCGACGCAAAAGGCAAAGGAAAGAAGGGAACTCCAGCGGAGAGGATCGCCAGCAGGAACGACGACGCGGGAGGAGCTTAGTCGTCTCCGGCCCTGCAAGGCAACCTGCTGAGCCGGAGGAGCCTCTTCGACGAGGAGGTGAAGATGAGGACATGGGTGAAGCCTGTCCCCATGAGACCTCCGAAGGCACAGGTGAAGAGCCCGTGACGGCCGAGAGAAATACATCTGAAAGGTCAAGAGACCGTAAGGAGTTTGAAGAGAAACTTCACACCATACTCGTCGGCAAAGGACTTACTTTGAAAGAGATGGGAAAGTGGCTAGTTGCCAATGTGAGCTGCCTCCACACGAAGTTCGGCAAGTTCAAGGAGAAACTGGATGAAGCAGCGGTTGAAAAGGTCAAGGCGTCTGGGCCCGCAGCCCACGACTTGTTGCCGATATCAGTTGAGTCGGTGTGGGAGGCTGACTTCATTGAGGACGCGGGCATTAGAGGATGGGCCACGTTCTCTTGCCTCTGTCTCAATTTTTGGTATTGTGCGGGTTGGGACAGAGCGAGTCACCTCGAGCACCTTCGAGAGCTGACTGGGTCTCAGAAGGATTTCCTTCTATACCATCTTGTTCCAGCCGTTGAGAGACTGCTTGAGGATGATCCCAGGGTACCCAGACCAAAGGAGCTGGAGAAGTTGCTGTCCCAGAAGGGGCAAGATTATGAAGGAAACTCATGGGTCGTCAGAAGGTGATCAAGTGCTGGCCAGAGATAGGAAAGGCGGCAGTGCAACCTCTCGTTCGGTTCTTGGAGGGAGATACCAAAGCGCTGGTGGAGTCCCCGATGGACATCCTCCCCTATGACCAGTGGCCGGACGACATACCTAGCTCCTATGTGAGGGCAACGGATGAGGAGTGGAACGCACTGGTTCACGAGGGCTACAAGAGGGGACTGTTTCAATTTTGTCCTGAGGAAGAGGTCTTGACAGGCCCAACTGGTGAGAAGATTCTCAATGGGGCTGGTGCAGTCCCAAAAGAAAAAGATGGTCAGGTGTTGCAACGGTTCATCTCCATCTTTTGCCCGCTCAATGCGGTGAGTAGGAAGATTGAAGGCGAAGAAGGAACCTTGCCCTACGTGGGCCAGGTCTGTTTGTTGAATCTTCCAGAAGACGGCTGCGTTCTGATCGATTCAGAAGATCTCCAAAGCGCATTCAACCTCTTTGAAATGCCGCAAGGATGGAGGGGTTTGTTCTGCTACCGGAAGCAGGTGCCAGGTACTGTCCTGGGGCTAGCCACAGAGGACCTGGTTTACGTCTCATTGCGCACGGTGCCCATGGGATGGATATCCGCGGTAGGAGTTGTCCAGGCCGCCATCAGGCATGTGGCTTTCAAGGAAGCCAAGCTTCCTCTAGAGGGGGAGATTCAAAAGAATAAGCCCCTACCAGAGGGAGACAAATTCCTCCTGTACCTCGACTCGGTCGACCAGATCCGACCAGTCAGCAAAGCAATGGCAAAGGTTTTGGAAGGGACTGGATCAGAGGAACACCAGAGGTTGACCGAGGCGTGTGACCGCTTGGGGCTGCCTCGCAATGAGGCCAAGACATTAGCGGGCGCTCTCCATGGTAGCATCCAAGGAGGTGAGTTAAGGGGGGATGACGGTGTATTCACCCTCCAGATCAAAAAGATGCAGCTCGATGCCGCTCTTTTCATGTGGCTGCTGGCGCAAGAAAAATGGAACCCGAAACGGACCTCGGGAATCATCGGCAGGTTTATCTTTGCCGGAGCTTTCCGGCGGCCACTGCTGGCTGGCTTCGCAGAGATTTTCAGGCATTTTGGGCAGACCACCACAAAGGTGGCGAGCAACCAAAGTTTTGATGAGGTATTGGGAATGTTGGGCCTGCTGCCCTTCGCGTTCACCAACCTCAAGTCGCCGGTAAACCCGTACCTACATGCTACCGACGCCTCACCAACGGGGGCGGGCAGTTGCGTGGCACGTCAGATTAAACGGGAACCGGGAGCGTGCAATCCCAGCGACCTCCTGTGTGGGTCCTGCCGAAAGGACATGAGTGAAGCAATGGCTGTCGGCGAGGAGATTGATTGTCCCAAGAAGTGCGGGGGGCATTTCTGCTCCCTTAGGTGCTACCTTGAGCACAGGGATCATTGCCCCTTGGCGCGCCTGGCTGTGCCAGTGTTCAGCAAGCGATGGAGCGGCCCAAAGGCCCCCTTGACCGAGGCCATGTTACGACAAGGCTTCGATGTCTTGCCGCCTTATGATCGAGCACGTGGAGCAGGGATGGACTATTTCACCGAAGAAGGTAAAAGTCAGTGGGCCGTTTTGGCCGAAGAGGATCCGGACTACGAACACCATGCCCCGGATTGCAAGACCATGTCCAGAGCGCGAGGGAAACCCTTCTAGATCGGGGGCAAGTTCCATCGTGGCCCGCCGGCGCTTCGAGATGAGCGCCATGTGATGGGGTTCCCGAACCTGAAAGGCCAAGACGCAGTAAAGGTCCGTCAAGGAAACAAAATGGCCCTTGCATCGATCAAGAGATGCGAGGAGTTGGATGATGCTGGAAAATACTTCTCACTGGAACACCCGTACCGGAGCTTCATTTGGTATATGAAAGCCACCATGGAGTTGGCAGCGCGGCCCAATGTCCGGATGGCCGTATTCAGCAACTGCTGCTATGGTGGGCGCAGGGCCAAGTGGACCGCGGTGCTCACCAACAATGTTGGTATCTATGAGGTCCTCCACAAACCCGAGTGCCCCCACCATGGGGAGGATTATCAACCGTATGTAGGGCTCTGCACCGAGTATGCGCGCGGAGCAGCCGCCCATTTGGGTTTGGCCGCGCATGTGCAGCAGGCTCATCAGTTGGCCCGCCTGCAGGCGGTGGAAGCTGCCCTCGCAAAATACCACAAATGCGAGGATTTGGAGCTCCGCCAGAAAATGGCGAAGGAGATCATCCAGGTCGAAGACCAAATGGTCGCTGGGCAGGAACGGCAGCATTTGGAGTGGCTGCTGACCAGAGGCCATTACAGAGGGAGTGACATCCGCCTGGCCGTGGAGCACTGTGGTGCCAAGCATCTGGTGCCGTACCCCGCCGGGCGCTGGCTTTGGCGTGATGTCCTCAGCTTCAAGTGGAAGAAAGAAGCGCACATCAACGTGCTTGAGGCGCAGGCTTTCTTTGCCCACGTCCGTCGCATCTTGCGTGACCCGCTGTTGCGCAGCTGCAGGCTGATGGTCGTGGTGGACAGCCAAGTGCTGTTCTATGCGGTGGGCAAGGGCCGGTCTCCTTCCACCCAGCTGAATCGAGTCCTACGCAGACTCATGCCTCTGTTAGTAGCCGCCGACGTAGCACTGTTCCCGGTTTGGACAATCAGCGCTTGGAACTGGGCTGATAAGCCCTCACGTCGTGCAAAATGACCCTCCAGTTTGCCGGCTTAAAGCCGAGAACAGTACAAAGCTACCGGCGTGCAATTCGGAACTTTTTCCGATACCTGGATGATGAGGAGCTTCCAGTTCCGGAAAACTCCAAAAGGTTAGACCAGTGTGTCAGCCTTTACCTGGAACATATGTGGCAGGATGATCAGCCGATCACCTATGCGGGACACCTCATGAGTGGGCTGAAGCGATTTTTGCCTGAGCTTCGCTGGCGTTTGCCCCGCGCTAAGCAGTATTATGCCAATTGGCAATCGACTCATGTGACCAAACAGGCTAACCCGTTTCCGCCTGTGGTTGTCATGGCATACGCTGGCTTAGCCGTGGCTACTCGCCAAGTTAGCCTGGCAGCTCTGCTGCTAGTGTCCTTCTTAGCTTTCCTACGTACAGGGGAGCTCGTTTCACTCGCTGCAACAAAGGTTGCGGTTGACACCGCCCTCGGGCGAATCTTGGTGGCGCTGCCCAGCACCAAAACATCGCGCCAGCGCGAAGAAACGGTCTGTGTAGAGGATCATTTAGTGGCTAAGCTGGTAGCTTATGTTTTGCGCCGAGGTTGCCAGGTCTTTTGGGAGGAGTCGGCTGCTTCTTTTAGATCCACCCTCAAACAATTTGCAACTTTCTTTAAGCTCGAAGAGTTTGCCTTTTCTGCCTATAGCCTTCGTCGGGGAGGCGCCTCTCACGCCTTTACAATGGGTACATCTTTTGATGAGCTTATGGTAAGAGGACGATGGCAGAGCTCTCGCACTGCCCGTATTTATCTGGACACGGGACGAGCAGCCCTTATTCAGCAGCGTTTTTCCCCATCACAAGCTTCCCTGTTGGCAACTTATTCTGCAAAGTTGGAAAGGTTTTGCGAGCAACTGCGTTAGGGGCGCACATGCTGTTAGCGGAAAGGTAATGTGCTTAAGTTGGAAATGTGCCATGAAGGTATAAAGGAGCACTTTTTGCAGCTCATGACGAGCTTAGCCGGGTTGGATGGTCACCCGTGGCAGATTAATTCATTGGTGTACAGTGAAGAATTTGGGGATATCTCGAAGTAGTATCCCAATGGCACATTATATAGCCTTGCCTTGACCTGAAAAGCATGCTGCTCTGTAGTCTACCCCTATAGATCCGAGTTGAGTGTAAGGACCAAAGGGACTGAAACGATAACAGTCCTATAGGGGTGCATAAGATTGATGCTGTAGCATCTGGGCTCCCGCCTCCCTCCCCTTTCACCTGCTGTAGGCAGCGTTTTTATGAAGCCCAGGGTTCCCTGGCAAGGGGGGGGTTTGGCTGCCATGAAGGTATAAAGGAGCACTTTTTGCAGCTCATGACGAGCTTAGCCGGGTTGGATGGTCACCCGTGGCAGATTAATTCATTGGTGTACAGTGAAGAATTTGGGGATATCTCGAAGTAGTATCCCAATGGCACATTATATAGCCTTGCCTTGACCTGAAAAGCATGCTGCTCTGTAGTCTACCCCTATATGATTATATAATATGATCAATATATGCAATATCAGAAACTAATATATGAATATACATATATATATATATAATTATATACACATATATATATATACACGTATATGAATATATATATATATATATATAATATTTTGTACAATCGAAATCTTCGTTGCTTTCGCCTTCCATTTAAGTTCTCCTTCCTTTCAAAACCTCTCGCGAGATCTGAAGATCTGAGATTTTTATGGAAGAGCCCAGTTTCCCCATGAACTCCGACCAAACCATGGTCAATTTACAGGGGTTGGGAACTGTCCCATTTTGGGAATATTGGACATCACCTTATAGTAGCCATTATAGACCATATACCTAATGGTTGGGTGATGTTCAATGGGAACATTTAATGACCCATGATTTATGTTCCCTTTGTAGAGTTTCAAAGAACTTGTGGATTACTGTACTGTACATCTCAAATATCTCAACATGTTCCTGGTGCAACCTCCAGACTCCGAAGCTTCTATACCCTTCAAATCGAAAAAATCCACCAGCCCGACTCACCCCGAGTTGAATTTGTGCAGCCCCCTTTCTGGTGCTAAACGTAGGGAATGGTTTTTTTTCCATTACAACTAGTCATCCCATTCCCTCATTCCCTACTAAGCACAAGCAAGTCCTATCAGCCATTTTCCCCATGGATCAGCCAGATGCCAGCTGTCTTCATGGGCTGTAGGGAGACGCAACACTCCACGCATATGCAGGCGCCGGGGGACTGGTCACAGATCCATTTGATAGGCAGCAAATGTGGAAATTGAAGATGATTCAAGCACCAGCCATTGAAGGCTTCAGTCATTCTGAGTCATTGCTAGATGGCTATTTCATGGCCATTTCATGGGATATAAATCATGGGGGTGGGATGAACGGTCCTCAGGGTTGCTCCAAGAGGGGGGCTAATTGTCAAAAAATCACCTCTTTATCTACCAAGTTTCTCCCCCCTGTACCTGGGGTGTTAAGGGCAACCCTGATAGTGACAACAATAATAGTAATAGTAAACACAATTTAATGATACGCTATATATATATATATAATGTATGTACATATTTGGTACCTGGAAACAGGGTATACTAAAATTTGATGATTTGCCATCGATGTTCCTATTCACTGGCTACCAATTGGGGGTATCCTCCAGTTTGAGACACACCCATAATGGTGATAAACAGTGATAACAGCAATAATGAGACTTGTAATGATTTTAGTAGGAACAATACTAATAATATACTGTAGGTAGATACACATATCAACATATTATTATTTTGAGTGCACATATACAGTATTCAGTATATATATATATTAATATATATATATATATGTAGGTCTTCATATTTATGTATATAGACAATATACATATACACACATGTATGTATTTATGTATATGTATATGTATATATATATGTATTCATATGCATATTTAAACAACATAAAATATCATTTTCTGTGTGACAAGGATGGTTACCTGGTTGCAACTCAGCGATTCAGGCCAAGAAGTGCAATTAAAGGGCATACGATCTTGAATCAATGATGGACCCCCAAGAATTTGTTACCATGTCGCCAGGGCCTGTGTGTGCGGGTGCATGCAGTGGCTACATCAAGTCCTGCAGTGGCTGATATTGTGCTGCTCGGCGGTCCCAGTAGATGCGGTTGTGCACCCTGAAATTTGAGGAGTCCCCTTACATACACATCACCTTTTGGTGATTGAATTAGAGTCATTAGAGCATAAAGGGTAACGGTTTACTAGAAGGACATGTAAGGAGGACGCAGGTTTCAAAGCTGACCTGGTGACTAGTTTCACTATTGGTATATAAATAGGATTCATCAATGTGTTATTCTTCCCCATTGCCATTCTTGGGGTTCCATGCTCTCCCGCGATTTTTCGTGGTAACATATCATATCCTATATCCTAGGATTGCAAAGTCAACTGACTGAAAGGTTTGTGCTCAGAATTGGAGTCACTTTAGATTCTTTAGATGCCAAAGATATCTATGACCCTTCAACGATGTCTGCCCGGCAGAGAGCAGACAGTCCTCATCAGTCCAAAAAATCCTCTTCCAATAGGGGTCTACCAGCATCATCCAGCATCCAAATGTGACAGTTTTGGGTTCCAAGGATGGCATTGGACTCATGGACGATTTCCGGGAAAATCTGCCCAAACGTGTCCAAAAACTTCGATCCATACGGGCCCCGGGCGACAGGATCTTACAGGAAGAGTTGGAGCAAGTGGAGTACGAGTTGGACTCGGCGCAGCAGTCACTGGGCTGGCGTGCAGTTCCACACGTGATTTCTGGGTGACACATTTGGTTTGAAATTGGCGGTTAATACATGTTAATACATGTTAATACATGTTATGAAATACTTTGATATACTTTGTACCTCATGAATCTCTCCCTGCCATGAATCATCGTTCTTATTGCTTCGGCTTCACAAAAACATCTGGTCGGATTGGATGGTTTCTTCCACCGGGACGCCTCCGCAGGTTGGAGTTTGCGGAGTGGTGCTTGAGCCATCCCGACTTCAAGGACCTCTTGGGCTCGGCCATGTTCCTGGCTGAGAGTCAGGCGGTGGCCAACGCAATGAGGCCTGGCCTGGGCGGCTGGGAGACGTTGAAAGTGGGATGGGGCAGGGTCAATGTCCAGAGAGGTTGACGGATTTGGGGATGTTTTTGGATGTTTATCTTTCGATTTCAGGGGGAAGGGGCTAGTTACGGCTAGTTGACGATCAGCAAATGAAAATCGACACTTGTCCCATCTTGTCCCTCTGCCATCCGTGACATTCCGTGACGAGATTGAAAGCAGCTTGGCCCTCAAGGGCATGGCTTGCTCCTCTTATCTGACAGCTGGGGATGGGTCAAAACCCGCACCATACCCCCATGGCTTCCGTTCAAATCTCAGATCCTGCCACCGGCTTAGTATCTGGATTTTGGATGTTTTTGGAATACCCTCTGGTCTCACTTCATCTCACTTACAACTTTTTGAACCATCAGAAGCGCAAGCCATGGACATGTACTTGCCCTTTACCGCCATCTTTGTGGCGATCTGGTTTTCACTTGTGAGCAGTAGCAGCTTGGAAGCACGTTAGGTGTTGATCGAAGCTGCAGCGAAGATGAGATAAAGATAGATTTTTGGACACCCACAGTCTGGGAGTCCCATGTTTGATACTTTCATTTCGAAGCCACAAGTGGATACTTCAAGTACTGGGTGACACATCAGTAATCAGCACAGGCCAAGTGGGGAAGATGATGCAGATGGGGTAGCAGTCCTCTTTTTATAGCAAACTAGCAAACCATGGCACAACGCAGGCAATCTTTCTGTAGTTCAGCAAACTACCCTCTGGTCAAACATGGCAAGGAAGTCCTCGAACTTGTGAGCTTTGGAAAAGTCATTGAGCAAAATGGTGACATTTCCAGCAAGCCATGGAGCTGGTTACCAGAGGGTATATAAAACATCTATTATTATCCCATTATTATCCCATTATTATCCCATTATTATCCCATTATTATCCCATTATTATCCTATCCCATTATTATCCCATTATTATCCCATTATTATCCCATTATTATATATTATTATTCCCTATGAAATCATATTAAACCATCCTTACCTAAACACTGCCTCCCATGCAAAACATGGGTTCCCAAGAACTGATGGAATCCTCGCAGCGGTGTGTTGATCTAACACATCAGCTGCAACACATCACCTGCCCGAACGGCTTCAAAGCATCAAACTTCTCTCAACTTTGCCACAATCATAGAATTGGATGATGGGAAAATTTACAGGAAAGCCCTATATTTGATGGTAAAAACCATGGTTTCCTGTAGATTTTCCCTTAAATCAATCCAATGCCACAAGCATTCGGGAAGTTCTCGTGTGATGGAACTTACGATGGAAGCAGTATGCCTGCCGTGGAAACATCTGCTCGCGTAGCATCGAAGGCATGTGGAAGCGTAGCAACATATTCTCTTACCGTAGCATGGATCATCTGCTAGCCTAGCATCTAAGGCATGTGCAAGCGTAGCAAAATACTCTCTTATACTGTAGCATTGATGCATATGCTAGCAGCATCTAAGGCATGTGCAAGCGTAGCAACATACTCTCTTATACTGTAGCATTGATGCATATGCTAGCAGCATCTAAGGCATGTGCAAGCGTAGCAACATACTCTCTTATACTGTAGCATTGATGCATATGCTAGCAGCATCTAAGGCATGTGCAAGCGTAGCAACATACTCTCTTACACTGTAACATTGATGCATATGCTAGCAGCATCTAAGGCATGTGCAAGCGTAGCAACATACTCTCTTATACTGTAGCATTGATGCATATGCTAGCAGCATCTAAGGCATGTGCAAGCGTAGCAACATACTCTCTTATACTGTAACATTGATGCATATGCTAGCGTACATCTAAAACCAAAACGCAGAGCATCAGAACGTTATTAGCCCCATCTCTGACGTAGCATCACGTGAGTGTGCAAGTGCCAAGGGACGTAACTAGCCCCACCCCACCCCACCCCACCCTGCCGTACCATAACCGAATCATACCTTGCACAACATCCAAGTATACGAGCAAAAATTGACAACCCTTCTGAGGGGGCGAGCCAGCCGATCGCCGTTACCCAGTCATGATACAGTATTGTAAGTTTTTCTTTAAAACGGTATATTTATCCATTTTTCTTGAATTAAGATTCCTGGAATGTATAGTAAAGCAATGCAACCCAGATTTTGAATGATTTTGTGCGTGTATATATATATATAATCAATTATAATTATATATAATATATAATTATATAGATATATAATTATATATATATAATTATATATACAGTATACGTAACCACAGGCAGTCACCACCATCCTCGGCAGTCTCCTGCGCAACCCAGGCGTGTCCTGAGAATCGACCAAGAGTACCACTCCGAAGACGATGCCGACGCCTCGGCGGCAGATCGGAAGTTGGGCTACACTTTGCTGACGGTGGAACTCAAAAATTTTCTGAGCATCGTGCCTGGTGGTGCTAAGTGAGATCTTCGGATGCAGATATATGGTGCTGAGATACCTCATATCTATGAAAATTCATGAACATCAGACATGATTTGGCTCTGAAATGCCATGGAACATCTTTTTTCGGGGTACCTTGCCACGTTTTGCTGTGCTGGTTTTGCTGTTTTTGGTGCCTGACATCATGGACCAACGCAAAATTTATATAGGTGGGAACGTTGTGGTGTGAGGCACAACGAACTGTTCACCAATCGAAGGTTCCAGGTTTTCAGCCCGATGTTGGGTTCCCTGCTGGATAGCAAGCCAAAACACCAAGAGCTGAGGACTCACACATCTCATCTTGCTTATCTCGGTGCATCTGAAATAAGCATTTTAGCATTTTCCGACGCAGCTTGGGGATGTCCTTGCAGGGGCACCATCTATGTTTTGGTTGTTTTTTTTTCTGGGTCACTTGATTGATGGCTTGAGGATAGCCGGTCCCCCAAAGAAAAGGGCTTTCCAATGATGATTACCATCTGGCAATCAAAATTAGTAATGGGAAATCCCATTCTTGAACTGATAGATTATCTATCAATGGATATGCTGATACACTGTAGATATGGGATATGGGATTTGCCAGAGCCATGTTCAATTGCCATGGAGTACTGCCAATTTGTGTCATTGAAAAGGACATCCCTGCAGTGTGGGACCGGTTTCACTGGCCGAAAGACGGGTGCCCTTGTCATTGCTTGGGGCTTTGGGAGTTTCGATTGCAAAGCTACAAGGTTGTGCCCTTAAGTCATTTTATAATTTGTGTAATCTTATATATATAATTATATATATAATTAATATGGTTTAAGTATATATATATTTATGAATTGGGTTAACTCAGGGCTCCTGGTTAAGGAATCAGCTTCTGGATCTTGTGGGATGATCGTGGTAGGCACAAAAAGATGAGCCACAATGACAAGGCGCAGTGGGAATCCCAACATGACCAGCCGCATTTCTTTTTCAGGCTTTCTGAATTTTTCTGGCTTTGTCTACCCCGATTGAATTGCTAACTTTTTTAATGGGTAACACTGTTAGTAACATGATAATCAACATGCATCAAACATCAAAATTTGAAGGTCCGAATTTTCAGACACGCCCATAGGAATTTGTGGTTTCCACGGCCGCGACTGAATTAGATAGCATTTAGATAGCTAGATTGGAGACTGAACTTTCATTACCAAAGGCGTTCTTCGATGAGGGGCATATATATGTGCAATGTTTGCATATGTTTGCTTTGATCGTTGCCGAAGACTTTGAGACCCGTCGAGAGTCAGGTCAGTTTGAAACCTGGTTAAAGCGTGACTTCATTTCAGCCATCAAGTCCATCAAGAATCCAGTTGACCCGCTTACAGTAGGTCTTTCTTGTTTCTTTCCGGCCGCTTCTGGAAGTCTTAATCTTAACATTCACCTATTTTGATGAAGTTTGATAGTTCCCCCTTTTTCGACAATCAACCCACTAGTTTCCCACTTTCAATCCGATCCACACATTTTTCCGGCACAAGTTCCCTCGCAGGCCTTCAACCTAACCCTACTGATCGACGCCTTCGTAACCAGCGGCTTGGTGAAGACGTCTCTCGAAGCGTTAGGCGCTGGACTTTCCGGGTCCTGGTGGATCGGAATTGGGGGTAACCATGGCAGATATCATGGGGATTCCGGGATATGAATGGGATAGCCAACAAACATGATTTTTTAGTGGGTCTGAAAATGGGGGATATCTCAACATTGCCACCAATGAGTAGGGAAATGTAGGGAAAATGATGACTCGCCATGAAATTTTGAGCCCTATTTTCAGACAAACCAAACGTGTCGCAAACGTGTCGTTAACGTGTCATTTTCAGGGATAAAGCAGGGAAACTTGACATTGTTGGCTGCTTCATACCCACTACCCTCTGGTAAACTGTCACATAACTATGGAAAGATCCACCATTTTCAATGGGAAAATCCACTATTTCTATGGCCATTTTCAATAGCTATTTTGGCATAACCAGAGGGTATTTCGCATCTTTCGCCACCACTACTGTGCTCAGCGCAGGTGTGAACCTCTCCAGCTATCGCTCAGCGCGAGAGAAATGCGACCAGCGCTCCCCTGCCAATCCGCAGGTGAAACGGCACTGGGACGAGGAGCGGCCGCGGAAACGCCCGGCATTGCTGGTGGTTGATGGGGATTTCATGGGATTTTTATGTGATTTACCCTCTGGTTATGCCAAAATAGCTATTGAAAATGGCCATTGAAATAGTGGATTTTCCCATTAATAGCATGGTGATTTTCCAGTTCGCTATGTTAAATTACCAGAGGGTATGTGATTTATCTGATCTATCCACCAATAATGGGGAGTATTCACCAGCAACTATAATTAGGTGCTTTCAAGCAGAAACCATGGTTTTCCATGGTCAGGACTGGGTTGCGTCAGGGAAATTATGACATACATGGTGAACTGATTATATGCATATATTGCAAAATATGATGTATATTATATACATATATTCATACACACATAATGTGTGTATGTATATCTATATTAATATCTATATGGGGATTTCCATTTTCATGGGGGTACCCCATTTATCATCCATTTTAGATTGGGATTTCCCCTTATAAACCATCCAGCTATTGGGAGTACCTTCGACAGAACCCCCCTGGTTGAGGCCAGCGAGGTGAGCAGCGTGGACGCCGAAGACGCCGAAGTGAAGGCAGTTTCCGCAGAGGGGAAATCCCAAAGAAATCAAGGTTTGAATGGAAGATTTACAGCCAACCAGTGAAAATATATGTGAAAATAATGGAACATCATGAGAATGATATAGAATGATGGGATTTTCAAGCCATTCAAATGGAGACTCATGAGGGATTTTTGATGTTTTTTTTTTGGGGGGATCATCGCCAATGAAAAAGCTGGATATGTCATGGGGATAACCAACAAACAATGGGATTCAACCAACAATTGTACGTACTATCTACGGTAGTATGGTGGATAATTTCTGTATACAGTAATTTTTTAGAAAACCGATTTTAATATATTAGTGTACTGTATTATTATTGTATGGGATATAGTTTTTTGATCTATAACCAACACTATGACATGGGTCGTCTGAAAATTCACGGGTAAGACAAGGACTTTTCCTGCTTTTAGATGGCAATTCGGGACACTGTATCCAAAATCAATAAATTGTTGGGACAAAACCAGATGGGACAAAAAATCATAGCTGTCCTTTTTCTCTCTTTCTTTTGGTTGGTTTGTTCGATGCCAGCGAGCGCCATTTTTTGCACTTATTTGTGACCCCATGGGTGACCATCCTAAAGTTGGTCAACGGAATTCAGCAAGAGAATCACGAGCAGTTGTAACAGTGAGAACTTTACAAAGAAGCAGACTCAAGGGAAGAAGGGTATATAAGAAGACGGCGAAAACAACGAAGAAGAAGAGGAGGAAGAAAAAGACGAAGAAGAAGACGAAGAGGAGGAGGAGGAGGAGGAGGTAGAGGAGGAGTTAGGAGTAGGAGAAGGTAGGAAACTAGCCGCAAAACCAAGATCATTGAGGGCATGGGAGTCAAAATTTTTAATATTGCTCACAGATCACAAGGGTCCTGCCCTACCAATTCAGCAACCAGTCCTGCAGGCGTACATCGAAGTCACTTGTCGATCTGAGTTGGCTAGCACAGCAGCAGGTTGACTAGTTGGGAGGGCCAACCCTGTGTTGTGACTCAGGTACTCGTAATTGAGTGTGGTCACCTTCGAGCCATGCTAAAAACATGGAATCATATTTATCCGTTAGGATCATGCCCAGCAAATGGTGAATCGCCATTTAATCTCAGATTTCTGCAGCATTTTAAATGCCCATTTCAACTGACCATGTCATTTTGCTTCAACTCACCATTTCCCACCCTTGGTTGAAGATAAAAATCTGCAGGAAGGTGTAATTATGTTGAGGTAAAGCCATGCTTTCAACGGAAGATTTTCCCAACCCAAACGAATCGACTGTTTCCAAAGGCCAGATTTTTGCTGAGTTCCGGTAGATCCCCATTAAAAGTCCATGATATCATGATATCCCCATTTTCCCATGGCACCCACAACATCACTGAGGAGTCCCACATGCTGCTCCGCACCACTGCAGTGCGCTGCATGCTGATGCTCAGCCGTGCAGTGGCCGAGTGCAAGGCGGGAAGTCGGGAAGTTTCATGTGGGATTCACCGGCCAGTTCTATGGGATTTACCATAACTCAATGGGAATTTCAGGATCCTAAATTGGAGGTACCTACCATGTATAAGGCCCATTTTTCAGGCCTATGTAAGGGAATATCCCAACAAAATATGATCTTATATTTTAGGATCCTGAAATTCCCATTGATTAACTGGGGGTATCCCAACATGGATGGTTTATACATGGAAAATCCTATGAACATTATTAAAATGGATGGTTTGGGGGTACCCCTATTTTAGGAATTTTTAGGAAACCTCCATATATAAGGGGATTTACAGTTATATTAATATCACCAAGAATAGATGTGTTCCATTTTCTGAAGACTTTGAGATACTGTGAGAAGACACTGTTGTTCATGTTCCGGGTGGTCCATTTTTGTTCACGTTCCATTCAGCTACGATGACAGAGCGCCAAATGCTTCCTCAACTGTGCGGAATCTACAACCCCGCCCAATCCAAGGCATTCCAAGGCCAAAAGCTTCAGTTCTTTTCCGCACAAAGCAAAGATGAAGATGTGTGTTGCGAATTCATTGGGTTCATCTGATCCCTCAGATCCCTCATTTCTCATCCCTTAGGCCCTTAGTCCTCATTTCATAGGGATCCCCATTTTAAGGAATGCTGAAAAATGATGATTCGCGCCTGCAGGTGCACGGCCAATGGCCCACACAGGCGGCTCTGCCCCAACAACCGGTGATTTAATGGGAATCGGCTGATGATAGTCATTTATAATAGAGGTTGTTACTCTCCGATGTGGATAAGTCTTATATAACTGATCAATGATGGTTGGTGATTCGTTCAGGGATTATGCGAACCAATAGTCACTGTATTGGGGACTATCACAATCCATGGGGAATGCCGTTCTCAACCAGCAAAAAAAGGGACTTTTAAACACTGCTCACATGGTTTTGCCATCGAGTTTTGTCTAGGATTCCAGGATGGTCTGCTTGTCAACGTGTCCACAATTCAGGTGGTTTTGTGGACCACAAAATCAGCATTGCCAAAACATTGCCATAGAACTGGGTTCGTTGATCCTCAAATCGCTGGTTGCTGATCCAGTTCTTGGCGCCTGTTGAGACGGGCGCTTTCAGACGTTCAACGACAGTTGCTCGAGATACAAAGGTCTATGTCCAGATACAAACGGGATGTCAAAAGGTTCAAACACTTCTTTTCCATCCCCCAGGTATGGATATCTGGTGTCATCAAACATCATCAAACATGCCAATGGCAAATCCTCGAGGATTTTCCCAGCAACCTGCCATGATTTCCCCATGATTTTCCCCTGGAGGATCCACTGCTATAGGATCCCAGGTGGCCAGCCTCGTGTCAGGCAGGTCATCAGGCAGATCCCACGCTGGGCTATCCGGAAAGGTGCGCAGGGTGTGACAAAAGAGGGGTGTAATCTGGGTCAACCGACTTAGATACTTTATAATTACTTTATATAGTACTTTGAGTTCTTGCCTGGGTGGTTTGGAACATTTTTTATTTTTTCATAATAATTATATGGGATAATCCGTCCCATTGACTAATATTTTTCAGAGGGTTGAAACCACCAACCAGTATAGTACTTTGAGTTTTTGCTGTCAATGGTAAAATGTACTAGTCAGTTAGAAGATACATGACATATTTCATCATCTGTACAAACATGTATATGTACAACAATGAATGAGTGTGCAAATTGATATTCGGACTGCTGTTGAACATGGGATGACTATAATTCCTCCGTTCACAACCAAGAAAACATTGCGAATTTGAGCTGCTGAAGTACGGGGCCATGATTTTTCAACATGGGGCCATGGGGCCAGGTGGTTTGTGCTCCACTTTCGAGTGATCATTGCGAGGGGATCCTGAACATTTCCCAGCCAACAGGGCGCCACACCAGTTCGCTATCGGTTGTCAATATCAACAGCTTTCTGCACCCTAAAGGTTCAAGCACGGCTGTCAGCATGCCTAGTTCGCTGGGGTGCTGTCCACGATGTCCAGCAGTGCTGATGGCGATGTGAATACCTCATCTGTCGATAACTTGATTGATCTCAATGTGCTGTGCCTCAATGGTGAAGGATGCACCCTCAGCATCAGCCCTTCCACTCTGGGCCTGCAAGTGGGCGAGATGGTTGCCCAACAACTTCCAACAAAGAAAGGGGCGAAGCTGGCACTCTACCATCTTGAGTCACCATTGATGCTCCACCAAACATTGCAAGAGCAAGGCTTTGAAGGGACTGCGAGACTGTCCTGCACTTATGTTCCAACAGACTTATATGCTGCTTGGAGTTGCCTCAAAGGATTCTATTTCCCTGAAGAAGAGTTTGAGTTGGATGGTGTGACGGAGATAGCAGGTTGACCTGAACATAAATCTTTGAGCCGTTTGCCCCAGAGCCTGGAGAGCTTGACTTTCAGTCCGGCTTTTGATCAAAGCCTTGAACGAGCGACGTCGCCGAGCAATTTGCAAGTCTTGACTTTCGGTTCAGACTTCAATCAAAGCCTTGAGCGAGTGACCTTGCCTACCAGTCTAAAAAGCTTGACTTTTGGGGAGTTGTTCAACCAAAGTCTCGAACACGTAACCTTGCCCAACGGTCTTCAAAGTTTGATTTTTGGTAGCGGGTTTAACCAAAGCCTCGAATGTGTGACCTTACCCAGCAGCCTTCAAAGTTTGACTTTTGGTAGTGCATTCAACCAAAGCCTTAGACGAATGACCTTTCCAGTGAGTCTTCAAAGTTTGACTGTTGGTGGTGGGTTCAAGCAAAGCCTTGAACCAGTAGCTTTGCTGATCAACTTACAAAGCTTGACTCTGGGTACGAAAGAAAATCAGAGCCTTGATCGATTGACTTTACCAAGCAACTTGCAAAGCCTGATGATTGGTGGGGAGTGCAAGCTGAGCCTCGAACAAGTGCTTATGCCACGCTGTCTTCTCAACTTGACTTTCAGTAAACATTGGAATCAAAGCCTTGAAGGATTTGCCTTGCCAAGGAACTTACAAAGCTTGGCTTTTGGCAAGTTGTTCAAACAAAGCCTTGAACGAATGCTCTTTCGCAGCAGGCTGCAAAGATTGACTCTTGGTCAGGCATTTAACCAAAGCCTTGAACGAGCTACCTTGCCGAGAAACCTGCAAAGCTTGAGTTTTGGTACGGCGTTCAATCAAAGTCTTGAACAAGTGATCCTGCCAAGCAACTTGCAAATCTTGACTTTCGGCTGGGAGTTTAACCAAAGCCTTGAACGAGTGACGTTACCCAGCAGCCTTCAAAGTCTGACTTTTGGCAGCGGTTTCCACCAAAGCCTCCTACGCGTAACCTTGCCTGACAGTCTCCACAGTCTTCTTTGCTGTTCGACATTCGTGAAGGATAGTGAAGGTATATATATAATTATATATAATTATTATATATCTTGATTTTGTTTGTTTATCAATGTTGGTAATTCTGATGTTCTCCTTGGGACATCCACAAGAGATGGTCCAAATCTACCCATTTGTGATGGCTATGAGAATACGGTGCATCCGTTCGGTCCAAACGAGTTTTTGATCCATGCTGAAACTGAGGGGAGGTATCAAGCTCGATTGGGCTGATAAATGCGTCGCACTGTTGGACACAGCCCCTATGCAAACCATCATGGCATATCATAGCGCCATGTCAACCCAACTACTTTGGGAATGGCTATATAATTAATCATATTAATCCAACTTTGCTCAATCAAAGTACAATTGAGCAGTATTTCCTTTTCATATATGAAAGGATTAGTACAACACTTGAATTGCGTTTTGCTCCGCGCTGCCATTTACCTAGGTGGCATAGGCTTTGCGCGGACATGATGCGTGGTAGGAGTTACGCAGGCTTCGCATAGGCGTTTTCAATACAGCTTTGTCGCGTAGAGGGTCATGGTTGGGTAGGCTTTTCGTAGGAGTGGCGTAGGCGAGCCACAAAATACAAAGGCCCAAAGGCCCAAAGGTGATGAAACTTGGTAGAAAATTCGAGCCACAATTCATCAGACTACTGTAAATGGTATCCAGCGTCGCATCCATACGCCTTGTATGATAGCTTGGCACCCCATTGCAGGTTCTTTCTTTGGGTAGATGTGAGTGGTGCTTCAATCTGGTTCTGCTACCCTAGACAAACACCCTGGACATCTAGCCCGCAAAAAATATGAAAGGGTGCTTCTCAAAAAAGCTGGGAACCTTATATACAGTAATAGTTATCTTGATGGCGATGTATTTTTTCTGTCTTGTTTGGACTCCCAAAAACTCATCTAATGGCCCCCTGAAGATGACTATAGCTGTTTGTGATCCAAGCAGTTTGATTTGCTAAAGCATCTAAAGCACAATTTTGGTTGGTTGACCTCCGAATTGTCACGGCATCTTCGTTGCATCAAACCACCAGGGAGTTTGGGGCCCCGTGTGTCCGTTCCAACACCCGTTGCCTTGTTGCCAGGCCGCGCACGCCTAGACCAGCTGTGGGAGGCTGGGTAAGCCTTGGTTGGGTAGATTAGTCAGACCACGATTTTTTTTTTGGCTATAGAAAGAGGATAGGGGTCAAAGTTGGATGGTTTGGTCGGGATGAATCCAAAAAAAAGGCAGTTGGCAAGTTAAACACTTTTGGGGCTGGTGTCCACCAGGGGTGTGACCTTCCCGAAGTTGGCATCCTATGGATCTGCGGCAGTGATCCCTCAAAATTTCTCATAGCGCAGCACAGATCCTGAAGATCCACTTCCGGGAGATGGATCTTGGGGGTTCCAGCTCTATTTCTTTTGGTAGATGTCCTAATATCTGTGGGTGAACTCCGCCTTAGATGAATCCCCCCTGTTTGTTGCGTCAAATCAGTCGACTGTGAGTTCAATCCCCACGACTTGTGGCGGAATTCCACCGTTTTTTTTTTGCCTCAACTTCCCATTCACGCTTGAATCATCGTGAATCCCTCTGGTAAATTCTGGTAATCAACTGGTTGGCAAGGGAAGATGCCCCATTGAGTTCGATCATTTTGCCAGCTAACCTTCATTTATATAGTAGGGATTTCTCAGCTAGCCATGTTTGACTACCAGATGGTATAAACCAATACTATTCCAATATGATCTCCCATCAAATCACCATGAAATCCTCATGAAATCCTATTAAATCCCCATGAAATCGCATCAAATCCGATGAAATCACCATGAAATCGGCATGAAATCCCCTTCCATGAGGCGGCCGTCATTCCATCGCCGAGTTCTTCCGGCGTTCCTCCTCGCTGGAGCCAGGCGTTCGACAAAAACACCATGGATTTATTATAAATTGGGATATTTTTATATATTTTTTCTTTTTGGATATTTTTGGCCAGAGATGTGAGGATGTCATACCCATTTCCAAAAAGGTTTTTAGTAGCATAATAACATAAAGTGTACAGTATACAGTACCCATAGGATCCATGTATGCCATATATGGTAACATGGATCCCATCAATATACCCCAAATGTTAGCATATATACCAGCACCATGGATCTTATGGGTATGGGATTATGGGAAGACACTTATATAAGCCATAACTATAGGATTATGGGAATATAACTAAGCCATAACTATAGATGTATATTATGTATAACTGAGTTATACTAGCTTTTTTTTGGGGATTATGAACTAAACCATAGATGGAAACCATTGGAAAGCTATCAACCAACTCATAAGATGAGACAAGGCTATGTTTGATGGCGATGTTGAATTTCATTTCCAATTTCTAGAGAGATTGGTTGATCGCCTGCGACCTCACCGGCCCAGATCTGCCGGTCTTGCCCCACAAGACTCCACGGCGAAGCTGCTGCAGTGCAGGGCAGGTGTCGGAAGGAGCCATTTTTCGGGGTTACCAGCTGGTGTTGACTGGAACCCCGGCAGAAAACACGTTGAACTCCGGGTTGTGGCAGAAAAGTCCAGTCTTTTCTATGTAATTTGGACGGCATGTTGACCCCACACAGCAGTTGAGCTCCGTGTTTCTGATTCCAATCTATGTTATAAGATATCGACCTTGCTCTGAGAGGGTCTTGGATCTGATTATTCTTGTCCGAACATCAAAACTTCTGGTACGCTTGGCGAATCTTCAGCAATCACATGTCGAGTCTTGTGATGAGTATATATAGGGAGTTTGTAGCCCCAGATCCCAAGTTATACCAACTATATCTTCATTTTTCAGGCATCCCCTTCCATGACCTGTACAACGTGGTGCCCAAGTAAAAAGTTTCCTTCAAACACCTCCTTGATTCTCATTATGCATCAACCATATAAGCCCTAATTATATTAATCATAAAGCAGCTTACAGAAGCTACAGTGTGGCCATCACCCAGTTATATAAAACATTATAACATCCCCATGAACTAGTTCGATATATCTACCAGACACCCTAGAATTCAGCTATATATAATATAGTTAAGTTCCCCAACTCACCTCGCAGCCATAGATTTCTTTGTCGAGACTCCCTGGCTGATGGGACCCGGACCCCCAGGGCCCCATTTCATTTTCCCACACGGAATAGGCTTTGACAAACATGGGAGTAGTATGGGAATGGGACGACTTGAGTGAGTTTGAGTCCCATCAAGAAGAGGTCCCCCAAAAAGAGATTCGCAGGACTGGAACGAGAGCAGCTGCTGTATCTGGTGCGTAACTGTATACACCTCTCGGCGGAATTCACCCGACGCCGCAGCAAGCTGCTAGGGATGCTGGATACGCCGGAGCAACTTTGGTGGTTGAAGGGGACGCTTGGGACTTCCCTTAGAGTAAACTGTTAAACCCCCAAAAAAGATCAAACAAAATATAGAACAGATGGATTTTGCACTACTCTAGTAGGATGTTAACCTTCCTATCTTTTTGGGTGTTGCTGTAAAGTGGCGCCTGGTGTTGGGTAAAAGCAGATCCCATCTTTGGCGATGATTGTGAGCCCCAAATCTCACGCACATCTTTGATTTGAATTGAAAATCAAGTGGGATGATGGACCCAAAAATCTGAGGCAAATGATGCAACTTGTGCATCCCAGTTGGGGAGGGCAAGCATGATTACAACATATTACAACCCAGTTGAGCACATGGGATATACCATGATATACCCAGTCATAGGTTCTGATCCACCTGCTATGAGTTGCAATCCCTCCGGGTTGCTGCACCGTGTTTCCAAGGCAACTGGACGGCTTTCAACGCTACCGGAGGCAATTGGGCCTCACGCACCGCAACATCACGGAACATCGAGGAGCGAGCTGGACAGCTGTTGGCTGTTTTGATGTCGAACATCACCATGTTGTCCAATGTTTTCCAATATCAAACGAGATCATCGAGTGTCAATCAGGATGAGTGTTGACAACAAGTGATCAAACAAGGATATTTTATCGTTTTTTCACGCAGGGATACCTGATTGAATTGGCCAAGTGTTTTTTTTGGCGTTTGAACCAAGAACCTGGACGAAGTTGTCACAGGATCCTCTGACCAGCACAGCAGGTTCATCAGGTCACAATATGTCGCAAGACCCAGAATTACTCTCTGGTAAACTAACATAACTATGGAAAATCACCATTCTTAATGGAAAAATTAACTGTAAATGGTTGTTTCAATAGCTATGTTAGTTTACCAGAGGGTATATGGTGTTTTGGTGTAGTGTAGCAGATCGTAGTGCTAAATTCCCTAGACACACCCCATGTTTTTTACTCCCTCAACAGAGACAAGGTTCCAACGGCTAAAGAGCCTTGTCTGATTGACCTTCTGAACTATCCGTAGACCACGTGTTTGTGGCAGCCAGGTGTCAACAAACAATGGAGTTTTCCCTGCGTTCCGTTCCCTTTTGAATCCGTTTTCCATTTTCATCGCAGATATATTGGCCATACAGTGTACAGTGTGACCTCATAACCATGACCCCAGAAAATCATCAGAAATCGCATGACCATCGCAGTAAATTTATGTAAATTTGGGATCCAGGAGGTCAAGATGTCGTCTACAACTTCTTCAGTCCCGAAGTCTTTGAGGAATTAGGCCACCGCGGGTCCCAGGGTCATTTCCTGGGTGACTGAGTCGAATGGCTTCAGCCGGGACGGTGCACCCGTTTGAAAGGCGAGGTTCGTTCATGCCTAGGTGAACTCAACTGTGGTTAACTATATGGTTAACAATGGTGATCTATATAGGTTTTATGATGATGTCTGGTTATAAGATGTTATAAGATGTTTATAAGTATAGTTAGATTCCATATATAATATCTAAAGCGACTTATAACTATGAGACACCATATTGCACTATCGTCTGTAGACCAAATGTATCCTACAAATGGGAGTTGATTTCAAATTTGTAGGGCCCATGCCAGAAATCACAGCAGAAGTCCGGCAATAAAGAAACCATCATTTTGTGCAGAAGATTCTGGGCTCCGCAAGTTTATCTGTGTATCAGTTTACTCAGAATATGCCACAGTAAAATTGCGTGAAACCTACAATTGGCATAATTTGCCACAATTTGACAGCATTCAGATTCCGAATGGAATTCCGAATGGGGAAGTGTATCTTTCCTTGCGGAGGTAACGGCGTTTCTCCCGAAGAGGTGTTGCAATCCTTGGGCCACTGCGCTCCAGAGTACAGGACATTGGCGACGTAGCGACATAGGCAGAAGGCCCCCCCTTCCAGCCATTGACAAAGCCACGGTGCAGGACGATGGCCACCAATTCCAAGTCTGGAGAACTCTTCCTGTTTTCTTCGGATCGCAGATTCATCATCAAGACCCTCTCGAGCAAGGAGTTCTTCTGCAGCAATGCAGCATGGGATGCGGCCCAAAAGGGTTTTTGGAGGGAGAAAGGTGATGAAAGGTGCAGGAGTCCAACTAATTTTTAAGTTACTGCCCAGGAGAACTGGGATGCATCCATTTTTTTTTCCACGTTTTTCTTGGCCATTTTTTTGAGTCAAAGACTTCAGAGTCGGGGACCTGACCCCAAAGAGGTGGTCCGTTTCCCATCGCCAGTGAGAAACAGCCCTAAGCCGCAACCTTTCTAGCCACATGTTGTAGGCCCCAGCAGATCCCCTTCAACATCAGCGGCCCAAAGCCCATCCTGGCAAAGTCCGCCGATGATCAGGTTGATCCTTTTGATGCGCATGATGCCGGCTTACCTTGACCATATCCAAAGATACCCCAGGTCACTCATCGTCCGCTATGCAGGCTGCGCCTTTTGGCTCCGGGTCTGGCTGGTGTTTTTCAGGCTTCATCGGTCTATAAGGTGATTCCATGAAATCCATTGAAATCCAATGATATCACTCCCTTTTTCCTTGTCTTGCATCTATGTAACCGTCCCCAAATCTTGAAAGGTTGCAATATAGCTTTCTTGAAGTGGACGCAGCCATTTGGACGCGACATCCGGAGTGCTTCGCCCTAAGTTTAGCCGGGTAAAAATGGATTGGTGGAACCTTTCCACATGTCAGGACTTTACCTCATCCAGCGTGGCGAACAATTTCTTCATTTTGTGGTCATGAAATCCGTCTTCGATCCACAGACCCTTGGTGAGGTGATGGTAGCTGCTCTGTGAAGTTCTCATTATCACACGTGGCTCAAAAGAACAGAATTTGAACTTGGACGGTTTGATGTTTTTTAATGACCCGATGGACCTTTCGTGATGTTTCAATGTTGAAACCTTGGATGATTTGTTTCGCCAAACAAATGTGACATCTTCCAACACTGAATCAGATGCAACAGGAAACCACGTCACACATGGTGTTGGAGGAAACCGTTTGAACAGTATGTCACAGTGTACATAAAATGGTTTATATAAAATAATATAGATTGTGCTACGCAAAAAGATCCTGAATTTCAGACGAACTTCTGAAAATGAATCCACTTGTGAAGCTAAAGATAGCTAAAGATTTCTGATCTAACTCAGCTTTTTCCCCAGCGCAACTCACGTGGATACCCAGCGCCCTGAGGATTCCGTTGCATTTGAAATTCGACCTCAAGGGCTCGCTCTACAAGCGCCGGCGTCCTCAGGATCGCAGGCATCATTTTTGGACTGTGCTGAAAACATGTTTTTTTTTGGGGGGGCCAGTTTTCCCTTGAAGTTCAGCTTACGATGTCAATGTTCTATATCTTTGGTCAAGAAACATGGAGTTTCCTGGTCCGTTTCCTTCACCGAAGCTGGGAGCCGAGGCCGGAAGAAGGCTCAGGAATCAGTGGGCAAAGATGAAGACTGGGTTCACTCGGGCCATCGCCTGAATCTTCCCTTAGAGGCCCGGCCGGAGATGGAGCTGGAAGCTGGAGATGGAGATAGGTGCTTAAAATCCAAGGGCCGGCCCGGGTCACTGGATTAACGGAAAAGCTTCTTGATGGTTCAAGTTTATATATAGTTCATGTTTGTTTATGTATATACTGTATTATACTGTTATATATTATATACGTTTATGTAACTCTAGTAGCCCAGTTCAACAATCCAACAGTTCACTCTACTCGCAAGCAAGACGTGATGGGTCTCAACGGCACTGATCCATTTGCATGTGGATCTTGAGATCGGACAGGTGCAGCGTGAGTTTTGTGCTCAACACGAGCTCGATGCGCAGTCTTTTGGTGTCCTGATGATGGTCCTGTGAAAACCAGCCCCCAGTTGGGGTTGATTGGGTTTACATGGGTTTACATGGGTTTACCATGGTTTACCATGGTTTACCATGGTTTAGCCATACGTATAGCAATATGATTGGATTTATTATTGGGTTTACCATATTATTCCATATGATTCCGTAGATTTTGAGGAGCCTCCGGCCAGGAAAGCAAGCTCATGAGTCTTGGCTCCAAATCTCTAACTTCTCATGGAAGCCCTGACATCTCCTGACTGAGGCTGCTAGAGAGTTTCAAAATGATGGACTACTCAGTCCTGGTAGGCACCTTGTCGGACTGGGGCACTGGGGAATGGATTCGGCAGCGATCGATCTTGAGCGGCATTGGATATTGTTGGAGATGTTTGGACACACCGTATGGACCAGTTCACATCAGTTGACACCATCTACTTATCTTTCTGTTGTTTTCTGATTTAACTAAGTAACTAAGGTTTCCCATATATGTTTTCCCATATGTTTTCCCATCCTTTTTCCTTAATTTATAATTTGTCTTAACTGGTAGGCCACAGACATGTCCCAGGTGTGCATTTTGTTGAGCACGATTCCTTCAATGACTTCCTGGACCCTGGATGGGGCGATGGATACCTCGTCTCCGAGGACTGGGACGAGACGAGGAATGGATTCCATGGATGGTCGATGGTCCATAAATTGCCAGAAATGCGGTGTAATTATTATCATTATAGTATAATAGTGATATAGTGTGTATATATATGATAATATAATATATGTCATTATGTTATATAATATATATATAATTATATATATAATCTTATTTAAATATGGGTGTAAAACTGTGGTATACCATGGTATCACCATGATATACCTCAGCTGAAAATGCTATTTAAATATGATGTCAATGATGTTGATCGCCTTGGTATGAGGATCTCAAGGAAGTTTACCTGGTGGGCATCATCGATCATTCCATCAAGTATGGCATCAAGAAGCAGGCAGGAACGGCCAGGGTGGCCATGACTCGGCTGAGGGCAACACTTCGGAGAATTTAAGTGAGAGATGGCGACAAGTCTGCGGACTTTTTCAAATGGTTGGGGGTCACTGTACATTTCTTCTGCTTCAGTTTGGAACATGCCCTTTCCCAGCAAGACGAGTTCTTGTTTGTAGAGGAAATTGAAGAAACCTGCTGATATGGGCCAGTTTGAGATCTCTTCACAGTGAGAGCGCAAGAATGCCCAATAATGCCAAAATAATGCACAACATATATATGAACTGTAGTTACATGGGGTCGTCTGAACATTTTGAACATCATTCCGTCTCGTGGTTGTTCATCGTTTTCTCGTTAGAACTGCCATATTCGCATATTTTCCCCATGTTGATCCAAAACACAATTGATCCATATTGGTGGTTATACATCCCCTCATATCACACTTCTGGTTGGTTTTACACCTCCATTTATGATCATGATATAGACTCTATAGATCAAGATATTATATAATATACATGCAGCAACATACCATATTATACCATACCGGGTCCTTCAAAAAAAACAGCCATCCTCCTACATGTTGTCACATCACACCTGATCCCCCAGCACCCCCTTGATCAATGTTGTTGCCCCATGCATGCCAGCATCAGAACCGAAATCCAAGCAAAGCGATGTAACAACATTGAATTGGGGGGAAGGGGGCATGCTAGTTTCTTCGCAATGAGTTTGACAGGATGGCTGTTTTTTTTGAAGAACCCGGTATTATACCATATTATGCCGCATTATGCCATATCAATATACCAACATATACCAACCATATCATACCACATTATACCACCTATATTACTATATGTATATATACGTGTATATATATATTATATATATATATACACATCTATATGTAGATATATATATATATATACATACATACATACATGCATGCATGCATGCATGCATGCACAATATATCCAGGATATATCCAGCCACCATATATCCACCATAAATTCACCATATTCTGATTCCATTTCCACTTCAACCATCCTATGAATTTCTGACTGGATCACACCTTCACCGTCTATGATCCACCCTCCTGAGGCAGAGAATTTGCTGCGTGTGGCGCAGGGTACCTCTGACCGAGCCTCTTGCGTGTAGCTCGGTGAAAACCCACGGAAAATCCGTTGGAAAATGGTGACTTGACCATCAGAATAGGGATTTAAGTAGTAGCCTTAGTAGCCAGAACAACCCAGAACATATATATATATACATACATACATACATACACATACATACACATACATACACATACATACACATACATACACATACATACACATACATACACATACATACACATACATACACATACATACACATACATACATACATACATACATACATACACATACATACACATACATACACATACATACACATACATACACATACATACACATACATACACATACATACACATACATACACATACATACACATACATACACATACATACACATACATACACATACATACACATACATACACATACATACGATACATACACATACATACACATACATACACATACATACTCATACATACACATACATACACATACATACACATACATACACATACATATACATACATATACATACATATACATACATATACATACATATACATACATATACATACATATACATACATACATATACATACATATACATACATCTACATACATATACATACATACATATACATACATAGACATACATAGACATACATATACATACATACACATACATACATACATACAAACATACATACATACATACATACATACAATCATAAATATATGTTAACTGATTTATAACCAACCAAAATTGGGATATGACGATATCATGGGGATTTAACTCACTAAGGATACTGGATCATACTGACCTGGTAATGGAAATCATCCCCACCGGGCTTTGTGTCAGCTATTTTCAAGTTAAACTAATATAGTTCAGCCGGGCCAGAATTGGGATTTCACAAAGCAAACATGTGATTTCACCAACACAAATTGGAATATAATATAACCAACAAAAACGGTGGTATAGCCGTGGTGGCTATAGAATGGGAATATACTAGAATAATAGCATTTGGACAAATTACAACGATGTCACAGCGATGTCACTGCAAATGATAGTTTCTACATGGGTAATTATCCCCAAACAGCCGTTTTTTTTTCAGGTAGATGAGTGCAAATTATTTTTTTTCAGCAAGATAATGCAAAATAGATAGAAATACATAGTTATTTCTACATATTTGGTATACTGATTTCCAAACATAGATACATGCTGGATTTTAGTTCTATGAATAACTTGTTTCAGCTGTGGTGATGTTTCTCACACCCAAGTGGGAATAGAAAATTCGTAGACGCCACGGGAGTTTCGGGGAGTGGTATATGGTGGTGTTCCAAAGTCATGGGGGTATCCCAATAGCTGGATGGTTTATAAGGGAAAATCCCTTTAATATGAACTATTTGGGGGTACCCCTATTTTAGGAAATCCCCATATGGTGGTGTTCAATATTTGGGGGATGGAATCTTGAAATTACTTCAAACTGGGAAAATACTACTGGAAGGATCTGGTGTGCATGATGGTTTGCAGGAAAAATATGTGATGCCTGGTGAAGTCTTGTGCCGTCAACAGCGAAGAAAAGGTCTGAAAGTTCCAAACAGCTAAGAAACATTAAACACAATTTCACCAGAAACATCCAGAAACCAATTTCACCATCCGAATCCCAGGGTGTCTTAGCTGTTTGGAACAACCTTAACCAAACAAACAAATCCCAAGGTGTTTCACCAGAATTCCAACCAAACAATTTCAGGAATCACCCAGCGTTCATCGAGGTCCGCCGACACCTATGCTGAGCGGCAGTTGCATTTTCTCTACCACAAGGTGCGGGGCCATTAGCATCCCTTTGGAGCGGATGTAGGTTCTATGTAGTTAATGTAGTTCTAAAGGAAAAATCACATCTAAGGAATTCTAAGGATATATTATTATATATGATGATATGGCTAGTTGGAGGTTTCAAGAATTTTCAAAATGTTTTTGGTGTTCCCCCAAAATGTTATGATGATCCCTTTCATGGAACTGGCAGCATCCATCATGTTCAGCGAAACCGCCTGGGTTTGAAAGTGGAAGTGAGCTGAGCAAATCCCATAGACCTTTTGGGTGAAAAGTCTCCACCATTAGATTGGAACCCATGAAACCATCACATGGAAATGCTACATCTAAACCAATCGAAAACAAATCCCATGAATGATTAGACCATCTAGTTCTTATCCCATTCATTTGATGAAGACCATATTAAACCATTAAGATCTAACTTGAAACTCATGGTGCTGAATGATAGCTTATTGAACCCATATGAAACGTTAAATGCACATCAAACCTCTACGAATTTTGATCGTAAAAAATCATCGTTGAAGCCCTGGAATTCTTCGTTTGGGACGGCCCATGGAACAGGTGATGAGCAACCCAAGTGCCATGGACATTGGAACCGAAGGTGCAACACCTGCAATCATTGCATTGGATGATCAAGCAAATTTTAACCCATCCCCATATCAGCAAGAGCATGGGGATATTTACAAGATATGATATTGTAATCATTGTAATATCTTCATGGGATATTCATGGTCCATATTGGTTCATCTTGGTCCATATCCTTCGATGAATTAAGATGGATGGCAATGGGACATCTCCTAAAATAAGGGGAGGTATTTCATGGAAAACGACATCGAACTACAGGGGATTTTCCAGCAAGCATATACATTATCCCCAAGTTGGTTAGACAGAAGACACCTGAATATCCATATCAGCTACCTTTGTGTGTGTATATATATATACAATTAGGTTCTTGATAGTAGGTAGGAAGCGGGTTAGTGCCTACGACCTGTGGCAATGTCCATGCTATAGGTTATGGCCCCCCAATATATATATAGTTCTATAATCATTATCAATGTTAATGGATATCTAAATATGATATCACATTTATAATTATGCCTGATGGTATTAAATATAATCAGTTATTAGTCATCATTCGATTCAACTATCCAGAACATTATCCAACAAGACTATCCAATACCCAAAACAAATGCCATGCAGAATGATCCATTACCAACATGTTTAATTTCAACATTAGTTAAACATAGCTATTGAACATGGCCATTGATAGTTGAATTACCTATTAAAAAATGTGAGTTCCAGTAGTTATGTTAGTTCATGAGAGGGTACCCCAAAATTACTGGCTACCCCCTGCCAGTCCCGGAGGCCGTCTGAGAGTGGACCTCTTCGGTGCGGAAGAGCTCATTGCGGCGGATTGGAAGCCTGGCTCAACACCCCGGGGGGTCGAACTGGTCTCAGTGGATTCAGTGGGAAATTCGGCATGATTTGACCCTTTTTTTCGAAGTCTAAATTCGTCTCTAAGCTGATTTGTGGCTTGTTTGAGGGAGGTGAAGAAAGAGCTGGTGATTGGCGATTCTAGCATTTGGATGCATTTGGAAGACATGTGTTGGCATGTCTCGAGCGGACTTCGAAAAGTTGAGATTTACAAGAAGTCTCTTTAGTTTAAAGAGAACAGAAACATTGCATGTGGGTCAATTTAGCAACAAAAACATGGGATAGCAAAGATGAGGATGTCATTTGCAAGAACGGGAGTAGAATCATGACATCCCGCGCCAGCAAACGATTCATAGTATCATATACTGTACAGTATCCCTGCAGATTCATGTCCATGGGCACAGATCGAAATGTGGCACCATCTGGGGATGTGAGCAGCAGAGTCTTTTGGCCCATTTCTTTGGGGTTGAGAAGCATTGAGTGTCACAGAAACTGTTTGGATGTTGAATCCACTTGAAAATGTCAGAGCTGATTTAGCTTCAACGGAGTTGGGCAATGTAACCTGAAGGTAGGCAGTTTCAATACCTCGATTTGCACTGCGAAAAGGCACACAAACCAAACTTCCCCAAAGAGCGTATGGGTCAATAATGGTCAATAGCAAACAACCCAAAAATGGGTCAATGAACATTCCATCATAGACTATTCTGTTGATGTTTTGGGACTACCAGGATGCCACTGTTAGTAAGCCGAAATTCTCCACCGTTAAGGAATGGTGCCTCAGACCCCTACGTCACCGTGAAACTTGGCCTCTGCGTCAAGCACACGGCCCCTTGGGCAAGAAGGGATGGGGCCCGGGATCCTGTGGAGATAGCTATGGGATCCTGTGGGTAATTTCAACCTGGCAATGGACAAGAATCACACCATGTGTTTCATCGGAAAATCACCTTGGACCATCTGGTGGTTTTTTTCACCATTGGTTGACTGGAGGGTTGTCAGCTCCTTAAGATCAACCAGGATGACCTGAGGATGTGCCTCGGCAGTGGAGACTTTGCAAAACAACCCTGATGATTCCTAGTGGAAAACCTTTAATGCACCTTTAACATACAAAAATCATCAAAAATAGGTTGCACCAACATGTTGCAACGAGTTGTAACCATCACAATCCAGGAGCATGTTTTGAATGTTGGAACCCCAGATCTTCGCTCAACTCTGGGGAACTTTTGGCCTGCTTCGTTGGTTCTTTGATGTTCTTTGTCTACGTTTGGTGATCTTTTGTATGTCCCTTTTGGTAGAAGAAATTAGTTTCTTGCTATGGTTTTTAACATCAATTATTAGATTGATTTAGGTTGACTATATGTTCTGCATATTCCATCGTATTCCCATGGATTTTTTCTTGATGGAAACCATGAGAATCCCCGTTTTGATCCAGATGGAGCCATTGTCCTCAGGTGACCACCCCCCAAAGATAGCTGGTGAACCAGCAGCTGGTTGATACGCGGCTTAAGGTCATTTAACATAGCAATGGAAAACGGACCAGCTACTTCGATGATTTGTGATGACTTATAAATACTCATTGAAACTGGTGATGTTCCGGTTGGGAAATTGTTACGTCAGAAGAGGATAAGTCATTATACTCTGATTCAACATCGTTGGCTTTGTATTCACCATTATTCACCATTACATCTTACCTAAATATATGATAAACATATATAAACCCAACTTCATAGCTTTGTATTCCATGAGATCACCATTAATTACATGGTACATGAAATCACCGCCGGTGGCCAATGATCCAAGCGGCCCAATAATTGTCGTTGGAGGCGACGGTTCCGGTGAATTGCAATCCGACCTGGAACTGCTCCCTGTACCTTCCAGTGCACCAGGCAGGGGACCAGTCTTGGAACGGCCATTGAATGGTCGTCACCACCGAAGATTTCATGGATTTTCTACATGAAATCACCAGAGCTTGGTCATGAATGGCTTGAAAAAAGGGCCATGAATAATTTTGGAGAATCATGGGATGACAATGGGAGAAAAAAGATGGGATATAATATAAAGAACCAACAATCCTCACTCCAATCCATTATAGGTAAATGATAACCACAAGGAGGGGAAACTAGTCAATAAAACCTCTTGATCTAGCCCGTTCCTTCCCTTGTGTTTGGGGTGTTGGGAGAAACCCTGTCATAGCTGTCCTTTTTCCACTGCTTGGTTTCTGGAGGCTTCCCCCATGCAGCAACCGGTAGATGACAATGAAATTAACAAGGGACAATCTTGTGAGATGACATTTCAGTGAAGTTTAGTGACGAATGGGATGTAGAAGCAAAGCTGCCAAAACCAGTTGATAGTTCAGCCTTTTGAGTCAATTGAACGTGTTAAAAAGTGATTTACGTGGCTCGACTTGGGTTGGTTCAAACGGATATCCAGATGGGCAGTCTCTATCAAGGCTGAAGAAAAGACAAGTCCTTTCGAGTCCAAGCTGATGAATGACCCACACAAAGAGGTACAGTATCATCATCGAGGTAGTGTTCCCATCTTTGTTTTTGCACATAATATCACACATAAATACATATAATATATACAGTGTATATACAGTCATGATTAGTTATGCGTATATATAAATATATTTACATAATTATATGATATTATATCATATAGTAATAAGTATAGATATCTAGTATATACAATCATATACACAACACAAATATATGATTTGCCACAGATTTCCACGACTGGATCGACTGGATCGACTGGCTGAAAAATCCAGGCGCATCGGGACCAGGAGCTGAAAATCACCGTCTGGGACGAGGAGTCTGGGACCCCTTTGGGGAAACCAATGAGACCATCAACACACATCAAACATACCCTCTGGTAAACTAACCATTTTTAATGGGTGAAAATATGGAAAATGGAAAATGAACCATTTTTAATGAGATCATCAACACCATCAACTATGGAAAATCACCATTTTTTATAGGAAAACCATGGGAAAACCATGGGAAAATGGTGATTTATATGGAAAATCACAATTTTTAATGGGTAAATCAAGGAACCACATGGTCATTTTCAATAGCTATGTTAGTTTACCAGAGGGTAGGATATGGACGTTTGCTAAGGCATGGGGGTACCACCAAATCATTCACTTGTTGTTTTAGGTGTTCCATGAAATAAAGCATCCAGCGACCCCAGGGTACCCCATTTATGAAAAGGCCTTCATATAGTGATGATATGTTATAATGATTTAAAAAAAGAATCATGTACTACACGTAATGATCATACAAATGAGAATTGTTGACACAGCATCATAACAATGAGACTTGTGAAGCAATCAATGTCCATCATCACGAATGATAACCATCATAATCATGACAATTATATAACCATCATCATCATCATCATCATCATCACCAATAATAATCAAGGATGTTAACAAATGATTACTAATGATCACAAATGATAACAAATGATAACATATGACGACGATGACGACGACGACGACGATGATGATGATCATTTTCAAATTTAACATCCACCAGCACCACAACCAACACGCGTCTCGCGTCTCTCAGGATCACCTGAAGAGCTTGCGTGGCAACGACGACTTCCTGGGACGACTGTCGGTGGGCTCCCGGAGATTTGTGAATCAAGAGATCTAGGGATTTCACATGGTTTAAGCAAACATATATATATATATACATGTGATTATAATTACATATAGTTATATAGAGAATATATTATATATATAACTATAATTATAATTAGTGATATATATATATTATATATATATGTATTTAATATTATGATATATATATATAACTATACTTAATTATAATGTGTATAGAAATCATGTTTCAATGACTTACCCTTTGGTTATTTAACACTTTGCCGTGGAAAACCACCATTTTCGCAAAACAAATATAATCATAAACCATAGAACAAAATGGACCATTTTCATCCATTTTTCCATCGCAGACTGTCAAATAACCAAAGAGAAACCAACAAGAAATCGGGTTTTCATGAAAGAACATCGGTATAGAGGCACCAAAAATATGGTCGATCTGACCGAAATGGAGAACTTCATTCACATTTCAATATTAGGATATATTAGGATTATTTCAATATTAGGATATAATAGGATTATTTCAATATTAGGATATATTAGGATTATTTTCTGTGTGACATTCCTTGGTGAAATACAATGGCATTCATGATCTCTTTCGGAAGACGACGCCCGGAGGTTCCCATGACATGGATCCTGCAGGGACCAGTTGCAGCTGGGATGCACTGAAGAATCGTATGATTTCCACTTAGTGAACCCCCCAAAAATAATCCCTGACTCGAAGTACACAATAACAGGATATATATATATACATATGTATAGCGGGTTTAGCATGGTTTATTCCTCTAGAAACCTACGAAAAAGCTAGAAAAGTGATGTATCCACCACATTAGGCTTGGATTTGATCTTTCTATCTTTCTATCTTTTATCCCCTCAGTTGCCTCAAAGAATGTGGGGATCCTCTCTAGTAATCAAACGTGGCTAGCTGGAAAATCTCCCATTTAGTTTGATGATTTTTCCAGCTAGAACCCTCCATTTATAGTGTTTTTTCCTAGATTTTCCTATGATCCAGCTAGAACCTCCCATTTATAATGTATTTTTCCATATGTTCCCATGATTTTCCCAGCTAGATCCGTTCATTTCTAGTGGTTTTTCCTTGATTTTCTCATGATTTTCCCATTCAAAGCTCCATTTCCCAAGCGTTTTCAACGCAGGGCGTCCCGAGGATTTGCGCAACGCTGAGCTGTCGGACGTGTCGAAAGGACGCCTCTCTCTGCGCTGTCTCTTCGAGTCGGCCCGAATGCCCAGGGGAATTGACCCAGAAATGTGGAAAACATCTAGTGATATATATATATACTATATATATGTATCATATATAATTATATTTATATATATATATTAATATGTGTATATATATATATATGTATATTATATGTGTATATATATATATATATCTATGTTCCCATGATATATATATAATATACCATGGGAACATTGTGGAACATATGGAAGACATACTCATTATGCTTAATATACATATATATATATTGTAATGTTGACCTAGAAAATTATGAGTTTATAACCCCAGATAATTCTCAATGATAATATATATATATACATAATATATATATATATATACATAATATATATATATATACATAATATATATATATACATAATATATATATATACATAATATATATATATATATATATACATAATATATATATATATAAATATGTATGACCATATGCCAAAAATAGTTGACAGAAGTTTTGTACTAGTTGTTGATAATTAGTGTGGACCTAGTTGTTTTTCCTCTTCGATATGAGGCGGCACGCAACTAAATTCACCAATTCTGCAAGGCAGCGCTAGCAAACCCGCTAGGTTTGCGCTAGTTTTTTTTTTACACCCATGTTCAAGGATATTTTTTTGTGTTCCTGTCTGCTTGTTATTTCAAAATGAAGAAAAGTCAAGATGTAACACTTAGCTCCTTAAACCTAAGGATGTCTTAGTGAATTTCTGTGCTACTCAACAATTTTCTGACATTTTTGAGGTTGCGGCTCAACTTTGCGAATTTGTACGTAATTTTACCTGCTAGATCCCCGCTAGCAATGCGCTAGCAAAAGTTTCAAAAAACGGCTTTGGTTGACCCGTGACCCAGTCGCCACCAGAGAACTTGTAGTTTATCTTGTCTGTTTGTCAAAACAACAGTGACAGCAAAGGCAACGACCAGCTCTGCAGATATTCCAGTTCCACCACTAACAACTAGCAACGGCACCCACTTCACATAGACGCGCGTTAGCATTTACTGCAGGTTTTAGCTACGGCTTCAAACATGAAAGATAAAATGATGATGATGATGATGATGATGATGACGATGACGGTGATGGTGATGGCGACTGATATAAATCAATGTTTCTATATAGTTGACATAATTGATATATCAGCCTTGAATCAACATGATAACTGTTGAGGAATTGACCCAGAGAGGTTTCACCTGGCCATCGATGATTGCCCCCTGGATAGGTCAACTTTTTGAGATGGTTGATGAAAATTATTTGACTGTTTAATATTCCAGATATTTATGTATTCAAATATTTACCAGATGGCTGACTAATTATTCTACCACATTCTACTTGTAGGGGGTTATTAACCTCCGTGGTTTCTTAGGGATTATGAACTGATACGTGCATGGGGAATCAATGTTCTCAACCTGCGTACAGGGAAAACATTTTACAGTACGTATTTAGCCATCTATGTTGGGGAACCCTTTAATATAGTTCAATACACCTGAATCTATTCAAAAAAAACGGGATATGTAACCAGCTTAAAACACATGTCTTTGCAGGATCTGTGAGATTGGGAATGAACATTGGTTAGTGTTGGCATTAAACCATGATTTGGGGCTGATACTCTTGACCCATACCCAGGTGACAAGTTAATGATACGAGGAATTTTGACCGATACCGCCGATACCCAAATGGGAAGAATTGGATGAACGGATTCAGGATGTTCCCTGATTTTGAAATTGTGTTTTGTTTCTATTGCCGAATTTTGCTGGTGTTTGTTAGTGTTCCAACCCCTTCCAGGTTGTCGTGTTGAATCCAGGCCGACGAAATTGTAGATGACAGTTTGTTAGCGAAAGAGCCTTGGCAGCAGGCCGCATCAGTGCTGTCATCAGAATGATGGGGACTTGTGTATATACCCAGTTTTTGACCCACTCAAGTTCACATTTGGTGTGTACATATATATATATATATATATACATACACTTTATATGGATTGATATGTTTATCCTTATTGGGTATATACCCAAATGATTGATATCTTTATATGGATTCGTTCCACTTTTCATCCTATTACACTTGGGTGTGGTCCCCCAAATGAATAGATCCCGTACTGAGGGTATCGTTTGGGAGGATCTGTCCGAGCCAAAAAGGGCTTTGCAATGCACTTTATACGTAAACCAGCGCTCTTTATGACGTGGTCTGTTACCTGGTTACCACTTGTTATAAACAGAAACCAGCATTTGCACGACTCATAAATACTGGCTAACAACAATACTATATATATATATACATATATATAAACTACATTAAACTTCTACATACATCCGACGTTTTTGTTCCACGACCTCGAAGATTGGCTCAGGCTTCTCCGAAGCAGTCCCTTGGGATCGACGGGTAAAATTTGGATGCTGTGGATGTGGAAAAAAAATCTGAAAATTGCCCACTTAGTTCGATGATTTGCCTATTAATATAAGACATGATTTTCCACATCTATGTCAGTTTACAAAAGTTATATCCAATATATATACACGTACAGATGAAGTGCGACATCTATTTATCGGTGGATTTGAAATTCCTGGGTATGTGAACCAATTTTCAGATTCTGATACGTGAAGTGATATTAGTTCATACGAATATGAGCACGATGCTGGAAGCCATGCATTTGCACCATTATTGTAACCATGAAAAGATTCAGAACAGGTTCAATGATTGGATTCTACTTAAATCAGTTTTCTCGAGCGTTGCTGTCAATGATTGTTTCTCTGTATTTCCAATTCTAATGCACAAATTCTGGGATTACAACTTGGTCTTGGTGCCTTAAACTGCATTCACAAAGATGGGAATGATGCGCACGAATGACCTCGATTTTTCATTGGGTGACAAGGTTAGCGTCCCTCATTTGTCGCTCTGCTTGCGAAGGTGAAATAGTGACAACCCCCCCGAAAGGTTAAATGAGTAAGTTACTCATGTTTATAGTAACTCCCAAAAAGAAAGAAACTTAATGTGTCACTATTTAGTTGGATTTTACTTTTCTATTTTGTTTTGGTTGGATATCGAATGTGTCCCTGTGATCAATCCAGAATGATCATAATAATCCCTGCCCCAAATGATGAACACCCGCCCAAAACCACGGTTTAGTATTGACATGTATTGACTGTGTTCCGGTTGATTTTTTTTTTGGTTCCTTCAGAAGGTCAGCTCATTCTTACAAAGATGAAATATCTTCTCGGATGATTAGTACCAAAAAAGGATCCTGGGCATTCTGATAACTGGATGGTGGGATGGCTATAGCTGGATGTGTCATCCCACTCGGATCCATTTGGTTTTCTTGTGCCATCCAGTGGCCACTTGGATTCGGATCTCCAAACAGATAGAACAGCTGAATTTGACCATCATGTTCCCAGCATTTTCGTGGAATTTCTGTAAATTTCTGCCAACTTTCCATGTTTTTTTTTGGGATTCCTTGGGTTTTTTTTGGCCGAGGCCCTCGCGGTCGGTGGCCTGTTGCGTCTGCAGCCCCCTGTACCGAACTGCCGCGGTGTAACACAAAAACGAGCACCGCGCCGCGCTGGGAGGAGCTGCTTCCCCTTCTGATCGGCAAAACATGAGGAATTTCGAAGGTCTTCCTATTGATGTTGGATGTTTAATACTGAACATTGATCAAAACTGTTGTTTTTTTTGGAAGCTTCGATTGTTGGTCGATACCCAAGTGGTTGTGAAGTGGTTGGTGGTTTCATATTTTCGTGTGTTTGCTTGATCATGCTTGATCATGCTTGATCATGCTTGATGATCAGTTTCCGCATTAGAATTAAGTTCTATATGTTTAGTAGATTTTAGAACTTGGAAATCACTAAAATCTACTAAAATTAAGTTCTATATGTTCTATTAAGTTTCCGCATCTCCACATTTTCTGGACAAATGTTTCGTGATTTAACCGTGGCATGAGTTGAACCATGTTGGAATCCGTGTTGGAATAACTTTTGGTCTCTGCGGGGCTCTCAAAAATCCATGACATGGCTTGGTCCATTTGGTCCGTTGGTGTGGAGTATATTTATATAAACACATGTTGGTTGAATTTTCCACCAAAAAATATGAGATTCAACCAATTTTCATCATGGAGATGACATTAAAAGATGGGTGTGGACCTGAAAATCTTGTAGCAATACCCCAAGATTTGTTGCACAATTTCATAAGCCATGGGATTTGCAGGTAGCATTTTTTTTGGACAAACCCATGCACGGGATCATATGGGTATGGGTCGGTCAAAAGGGAATGACCAACACTTGCAGATCCCATTGCCTTCAGTGTTTGACCACCGTACAGCGCCGTACAGGGCGACATCAACTCGAGCTCTTGGTCCGAAGTCAAGCCAAAGAGTCGCATGTTTTGGCTCAGGAGTGTAGTTAGGTATAGTTAGGTAAGGGTATACTTTTTTTTTAAACCCTTGTCACGTTAGGCTCTTTTTTGCCACTCAGCCAATGGATAAAACAGAAGCCCCTCGGTGCCGCAGGTGGAGCGGAGGTGACAAGCACAGTATTTCGCGGGCGTCAGACATTCTGAGAATGTTTTTTTGGCTAACAACACACATGAAGTTCAGTGAAGTTCAGTGTGACGATGCATTTAGTTCAAGGGCTGTTCGCAAGGAATTCAATGCACGTCGTAATCTGATTGGTGGTTCTGAATATTTTTAACATATCCATCCTGTCCCTGCACTGCTGTTCCGCAACTTCTTTTTTTAAGACGTGTTGAGCCACTTTCGGAAATTCCGCCGTCGCCTTTTACTAGTTATATACATATGGGTGACGGGTTTTATTTGGTGAAATGGAGAGTATTGGGGCGTACCCCGGTTTGTCGAAAAACATCATAAGTAGGCTGTAAAACGATGTAGGAACACCCTGAAAACGAGGTAGGCAGCTGGACTGGAGAACGAGGTAGGAACACCCCGCCAATTGCGTTACATACCAAATTTCTTCCGCTGCTCATTTGGAAAAAATATACAGAATTAATTAATCATAGTTATTCATATACATTATATATATATGGTCCCGTCCTCCGTCTCTCCACCCCCCCCCCCCATGGGTTGGGTCCCCAGGTAGTAGCCCCAATTCCCTTCTATTTGCAAGCTATTGGCAGCATTTCTGAGGTCCAGCGTCGTATTTGCTAGGTCTTTGCAGCATTTCTGACTACCAGCCTCGCATTTACTAGGTACATGCTACCTTTTAGGCGACCTACCATGCACACATACTCCTTCAAAGTACCTACGTGCTACCTATAGTCATACATACATGTGCTATGTATCTACTGTATCTACTTCCTGTTTACTACCTGTGTACTCTGACAACACTACCTCTGTTGAACATATACCGTACCTACCATACATGTCAATGATGCCATGCATACCATACCTATCATATCTATCATACATACCATACATACCATACATATGAAATGTAATTACCACACCTACCATACATACAATAGCATACATACAATAGCAAGCATACATGCCATACATACCATACCTACCTTAGATAGGACATATTCCATACCCATCATAGTAACCATACATACCATACAGACCATACATACTGTCATATCAAACATACCATATCCAACAGACTTACATACCATACCTACCATCCATACAATACCAACCACTCATGCCATACATACCATACCTACCATACATACCAAACATACCATACTTTCCAAACATGCCATACCAGACCGACCATACACACCATACATACCCACCATACCATACCACACCCCCACCACACCACAGGGGGGGGAGGGGGACAGTGCCACACCCCCACCACACCACAGGGGGGGGAGGGGGAAGATCTCATATGGGACCAGTATATGGGACCCATCCACCACACCACAGGGGGGGGAGGGGGACAGTGCCACACCCCCACCACACCACAGGGGGGGGAGGGGGAAGATCTCATATGGGACCAGTATATGGGACCCATCCACCACACCACAGGGGGGGGAGGGGGACAGTGCCACACCCCCACCACACCACAGGGGGGGAGGGGGAAGATCTCATATGGGACCAGTATATGGGACCCATCCCATATGGGGGGGGGTGGCAGGGCCTGGTGCATATATATTATATATACATACGTTTTGTTGTGTTTCTTAATGAGACCAAGTCTGTTCGGAATGACTATAGCCCATCCCTCTTATCAAATACCCCCCAACCCCCATGGTCTAGTTGAAGCTACCAATGAGGTTGGCTTGGAGTTTTTATCCATAGTAGTTGGGATTAGATGATTAGATCCCATATGTTCTTTCCTTTTTTACAGTCACATAATTAAACTTCACGTTGTTGAAAGGTTCACGGGTAACCAACGAAATGATGTGAACGAAGCAACAATCATGGCAGATTGCCCCTGGACCATGAGGCTGCATCACGTGGCTCGACGGAAGTGCTTCACACACTTCCCATGTCTTTGACGTTGAAATTGAAGGTTGGCAAGCACAGGAGCAACAACATCCCGGTTCGAAGGTAGAGTTTGGAGTATCAACAATGGGGCCAAGCTAAGAAAGGTTGTATGAGTTTGGGAAAAAGGATTTGCAGGAATTGTTGCTAGCGGTCCTACAGATGTAACAAGCTAAAGCACAGATGGGTTCAGGTGATTTCACCATGCTCACCATGCAATATGCTGCTCCACAGCACGAAAACTCGACGTATGTGTCCTGAGTTCCATCCCAGATGTTGCCACCCATCCTCATTTTGATCGATATTACCATGATATTCGTGCATGTGCAGCAAAGGCACTGACCTTTATTTGAAATGAAATGGTAAGTTACCATTTTATATGACCAGATGTTTCGTCATTTTAAGCATCATTTTAAGCATCATTTTGCATCATTTTGCGCATCATTTTGCCTCATTTTGCCTGGTTTCAAGGCATTTTTGTTCCGATTTCCTCGTCCTTCCAGCCTTAGTCCATGGTCCAGGATTTCCTCCCACGTGGAGCTGGGTTCTTTGGAGGTTCAACTCACGGCCATCATGAGTTCCCTCAGCAGCTCCGAAAAATAAGCCGAGGAGATCCATATTTTTTGACCATCTGTATACATAGTATATTAAATATCCAGTATAATATAGTATAAGATAGTATAATATATAGTATAATATATAGTATAATATATAGTATAATATATAGTAATAATGTATAATATAATATATAGTATAATTATCCAGATTCTATATCCTCATGTTCAAGCCGGGCTATATACTGTATATATACTATATATAATATATCTGTGTATAGTTATACTTGGAGCTACAATTAGAGTTTCCGAAAACCACATGATAGGTAAGTGAATATACTGGCTGCCGGAGTAGATTTTTCTCTAAAGCAACGACTGACGACTTTGGCAGTTTCTGGTGAAAGCTGGACAGCGGAATCCGATGATCCCGGAGTTGTGGAAAGTTGTGCGACAGCATTTCTGGTTGGTGGTGACTGGAACCATGGAATTTTATGACTTTCCATATATTGGGAATAATAATCCCAATTGACTTTCATATTTTTCAGAGGGGTTGACATTGGGAATTTCATCATCCCAATTGACGAAGTCATATTTTTCAGAGGGGTAGGTTGAAACCACCAAGCAGATTTTATAAGGTCGCGATCACTGACCCGGCAAGGCATTTTGGAGCACTGCCACAGCCAGATGAAGGGCACGTGGGAGGTGCGGCCCTGCGGTGCAGCCCAGGAAGTTAGGCTGGCAGGTGTTTTCAGACATAATGAACCATAGATAGATGACATTAACAAAGGGTTTACAAATGTTTAGAAACCTCATATGATATATATATATATGGTTAATGAGGTTTATAGTTGTTTATAAACATTTGCAAAGCAACTGACTTTTCGATAGAGGTCTCCAGATGCGGTAACTCTCTCTTGCAGCAAGTACCATGATCAGAGGCTAGCTCTCCTGTGCCGAAGAGTCTCCAGGCCAACATGCTGAACTCCAGCATTCACGAGCTTTCGGCCCTGCGCCACCTGGTTCTGAAGTTCGCAAGTCAGGGCCCTGGTTTTTCTGGAGAGTGTATGTGTGATTTTCGCACTTGCTTCATCTTGTTTCAAATGGACAAGTATATAAAAGTACTACTTCGGAAATCAGACTGGTACTTGTTCCATCGTTTTTTAAATATTTATTTTGTGGGTACTTTTGACTGGAATCCAAGTTGAGAGACCTGCATCAGTCAGGTTGGGGAAGGCGATTCGAAAAGAATCAGTTGTCATTACTAGTTGTGTATCGAATCATATCCCATTACATCAATTCATCAGAAGTTGCTGGCTTTTTGCCATTATACCGTATATACCCATATGATCCCATATGAGCCATTAGAAAATACCCTTATCCCATTTCATAAAATACTAGATGGTTGATAGGTTTCGCATTTATATGGGTTATCATAATCCCCAATAAATGAGCCAGGATAAGTCCCTATAGTTCTTAGACAATCAACCAGGGTATTTGCAATGGCTCTTATGAAAATTGGAAAACCTGCCATAAAATGAACCTGGGAGCTGCCTCGTTCAGCCAGGACGCCTGCCCTTATTGGAAGCGGAAGAATTTGCAAGTCCGCGCGCCCAGTCCAGGGTCCTCATTCGGCCACTGGCCACTAGGTGGTTCTGGGATACTCCAGGCTGTGAGAATCGTTTTGAAAGTAAAATCAAGCCCAAAGAACCAGTTTCGTCCACCTAAATCCTCACTTTCTGTAGGCAAAACCCCAAGTTTTGTTGGTTGAAGCCCCAATGTTCTTGAAACCCAAGAATTGGTGGTCGAAATCCGAAATCTCTTGGTTGTTTCAACCCCGAATTTCTGCGAGTTTTTCCACCAGGTTCCGACCATTTGGGAAGATGGACAGAAGGGTTGCAGCTTGAGGAGACGCTGAGAGGTCAGTGATTGGAGCAGGATGATTCTAGCCCCGAAAAAGATGGGAAGATAGAACATCATAAAACCATATAAAATCCTAGAATAGTAATAATAAATGATAAGTCACTTTTCTATCTTGCGGATTGCTAAACCTTTTCTTTTGTTTTTAAGGTGTGCTTTTTGGTTTTGTGTTCTTGTTCAAGTGCTTGTTTTCTTGTTGCGTTCGTTTGCGTCCGTTAAATTTGGATGTAGTTGTTTTCTCTTAAGAGACTTTAGTTTTCAGTCCTTTGTTTCTGCCCAGCTTACGGCATTCCTGAAACTGGTGTCTTTTTTTTTGCATCAAATTACTACCTCCAGAGCCAAGTCAGAGCAAGTGAATTGTTGGTTATGTCAAAATAGCTATTAAAGCCATGGCCATTTATAGTGGATTTACCCATTACAGTAAATATGGTGATTTTCCAAGCATCGATGTTTTTTTCTCGTCAGGAGCCTCATCAGATGAGAGCCTCTTCTTCCGAGGCCGATGTCTCACTGGGTGTCAGAGCGATGGCGGAATCTAGTGGGAATGAGGAAGGAATGGTTCAGTGCACAACCTGCTATTCCCTTATATTGGTTACTAGAATATATATATATATACAGTATATAATTATATAATATATATATATATATCTGCCATGTTCCCTTGAATGTAAGTTAAAATTATCTCATATCATCTCGGAATGATCTCAATATATCTCAATCCCCCATTTGTCAAGTCAAAATCCATTGGTTAGTTTTAAATCTTCCATATAATGGGAGATCATCAAATAAAATATATGGTATGTTTTATATGGAAATACCATATAAATACATTATAATTAATTCATCAAAAGGTGACCTCCCACTATTTCTCTGTCACTAGGACAGCGTGAGCGGTCCTTCATGCAGTGGCGTGCCCTCCGCGCCCACGTCTGCGACCTCATTCACATCGCAACAATCCTGCCCGCTGAAAGACAAGTCCGTGACACCCAGTGATATAGAGGGGCATTGATTCCACACAGATATCCCACTTTGGGGATTTTGAACATCACCTTCACATCACCTTCAAGTATTTGTTGGAGATTATATCCCCAATAGTTGGGTGATGTTCTATATTGAGACAGTTACCAACCCCTGCTGAGGGTGGAGAGGGGAGATGAGGAGAGATTGGTCAAATGTCATGTACGTAGCACGAAACGAACATATATTTTGGGGCAACTATTCATTTTGGAGGGGCTAATTCATATTAATCATCATAATATACTATAACCTGTAAAAGATGGTGGTCCAAATTGGATATGGTGCAAAATTCAAAACCCATCGAGGCGTGATGTAGTCGATTGGTTACAAGGAGGAACCTTATCACGACCAATCTCAGGGTATCTCAGGGTCATCAAGACGATGAAACCATATGGTTAGGAGCGGGGTTCCAGTACTGTATTCCAGAATGACGTTTCAGATTTCAGACCTTTCAGGTTTGTGATTTTATTTAGATTTGGCTATAAATGTTTATGATTTAGATGATTGTTTATGATTGTTTATGTGGGGGTGGGTCAAAACCTATGATTATCAATTCTAATGGGATGAACATCCATAAATCCCAGCTATTTATTAGGTGCCAGGGTTTTGACCAATAGCCATGAATTTCCACAAAGAAATCCAATTCTGATGGTTTTAAGGACTTCGCATGTCGTCTTTGTTCTCCTGATGTCTCCCGGGTCCCCAGGAACAGCAGGAAGTTTTCCAATGATCAAACCTCGACATCACGATGGTCAAACCTCCAATTCTTTGGCTTGTTAAGTCCCACTGTTTGCTGCTTTACTTCAATTTACTTCCAACTTTTTTTTGCTTCAATCACTTCAATCACCATCTTTGGCTGACTCGATCACTTTGATCACAATGTTCGGCGGCTCAACCACCATTTCTCCATATGTCTATAGGTAAAGGACCTCACTGCGACCGAACCCTGGAATCATGTTGCATAAGGGAAATCATCCCCATCGTGGGCCTTAATTCAGGTCAGTGAAATATGATTCTGATCATTTCATACTGTTTACAGTACCCAGATATTGAGTGAAATATGATAATTTACCCAGATAATACCCAGATATTTGTGCTTGTTTACACACCATTTTCTGCCCCCTGACAGGTCATCTTCCAAGTCCTCCAATTCCAGTGGCTCCCCAGCTGACGACCACCGCCTCAACGGCGACCTGCTGGGTTCCGCAGACGGCGCGTCTGCGGCCTCGGGGGGTGAGAAGACGCGCCGTTTTCGGGCGAGGATTTTGAGCGTCATGAAGGCAGGGTGATGGGAGGGTATGGCAGGGTGATGGTGCTTTGAACCATATATATATATACAGTATACATATCCATATATATATATATGTATATAATATGTATGTATATATCATATACATATATATATATATATATCATCATCATATATATATATATATAATACAATACAATACAATATAATATAACATAATATAATATAATATAATGTTAGAAGCTTGGGTTATTTTAATGGTGATAGAACATGGGATTGCAAATCATGATTCAATGGTGATTTGATATGATTTAAGGGTGATAAACATGGTGACAAAAAAGGGTGATAGAAGTAGTGATTTCATGCCATGGGATTCAGTCAATCATCCCTACCTTTGAAAAAAAACGTGACTCAATGGGAATTCTAATCGGATAATTCTGAATGGGATATTCATGGGCTATTGATGGGATATGGGGACATCAAATCAGCACTAGTGATCTCATGGGATATATGTCCACGTGTCCAAGGTGGTAAGGTTGGGCTATGGAATGGCTGTTCTCAACCTATGGGGATTTATCTCTAGCCAAAGAGATGAACATTTTTTGTGAGTGCCTCAGTTTGTTAAGTTGCTGATAGTTGCTGTACTTCAGTAGGTTATTCAGCAAATTGGGTTTTTGGTTATTGAACTAGTTAAGTGGGTCCTTAGATGTTGCCAGACTTGGCACTGAGTGGAACCAGTAACAAAAAACATCCCAGGGCCTAGCCGCCGGGGGCCCAGGGGTCTGGCTAGCCACTTGGTGGGCCACCCCAAAAAGATCCAAGTATGGTATGGAATGGTTGTTCTAGTTGTTTTGTGGATGTTGAGGCATGATTTTCAAGTGTATTTCTTTATATACTGTTTTCGGACGGTTTGTTAATGTTTATTGACCTAACATATGTCAAGAATCTCTATGATACCATGTTCAAATTATTAGACGTGATATCGTATTATATAATAATATATATTAGTATTGTACATATATATATACATATAACAATATATAATAATATGTATACGTAGGTATATATATATATATAATATTGAGGGTTTATTTCTTGATCTTTGGGAAGCTTATGGGATATGGAGCCGCAACATTTGGGATCTGGGGATGGTTTGAGGTTGAGTTTGTTGAGGGTTTCGCCTCGAATTTGGCTGGTAACATCCATTGTTCCATGGGTTTCCAGATGAAAAAAGAGCGAAATGGACCCAAACTTTAATGATTTTCGCTAATATAGGTTTCTGGGGGAGGATGAACATCCATGAACAGCTAGGATGAACATCCATAAACAGCTGTCATGTCAATGTTTTGATGTGGACTAGAGGGAAAATCACAGGGCTTTCATCGTACAAACAACCATGAACCAACAATTCAACCAGCCACAAACCATCAACGAACCATGAATCATCAACCAGACAAGCCAGCCATATCCGACCCATCACGATCTCTCTCTTGGTGGCAAGACTTGCACTTCAAAGTACATAAATTTGATGGCAAACTCATTGCAAAAACCATGGGTTTCTGATAGATTTCTGCGTGAAAGTAAAGCCATTGACACGTCCCTCCACTTGCGGAAACTGCTGTGGTCAGGGTTTGCTCTCAAGAAAGCAAACCAGCATCTTGGCAGCTGAGGGTGAAAACCTGTGAGATTTAATCAACAAATATGGAGATATACCCTCCGGTAATCAATGATAGCAATTGAAAATCCCTCATAAACAGAGGTTTTAATGGGAAAATCAACTACAGGCTTGAAAAACCATTGCCATGATTACCAGAGTGTAATGGGGATATGGGGATGTCGTGGGATGTCGTGGGATGTCGTGGGATGTAAACGCAATAAGATGATATTTGAGTGTGTCTGAAAATGGGGTAGACTTCCCAAAAGCCTATTTTAATGAAAATATGATGAACCAGTTGATTACGGGTTACCTCATTTTCAAAATATGTCAGAATTTACCACCGAATCTGGCCGTGGCAATTCAGACTTTTGGACAACCAACAGGTGGAATCTTAATGACTACATTCAACTCTCAGGGCCTTTGGGTAGCTAAAGTCTTTGAACACAAACCGGGATGGCCATCTGCTTCAAATATCTTCAAATCACTTGGGTCATCCTTGCCAGTGGCTTGTAACCATTGTAGATCCCCTGTTTCGATATCAAGTGCTGTGAAACTTGCGATTTTGAAGACTTTTGGAGTATCTCCCTTGTTTGGACAAACCAATCTAGGGCTGTGTGCCAGGAGTTCAAACACTGAAGAACCACAGTGACGATGACGACGATGACGACGACAATCATGGCATCGATTCCGTTGCTTGGAGTATCAATTTGTGTAAACCCTGGATGCATAGCTAATTAATTATTAAGTAAACCTAAAATCAATACTCAATAGGGGTCTGGACCCCCAAAACAATTAAGCCTGGCTTTGGGGCATGCGCATCTACCAGCTATTGTGGTTCGAACTACGAACAGGGTAGCCAGGGTTTTCATCAAAAACCAGCTAGACGTTCCCCAACCGGCCCAACTGGTTCTTTCGCATTAAATTCCAGATCTACTCATAATTCCAAGAACGGCATGAAGGGAAAATCGAAATCGGACCCCCCTATGTTTCCTGTAGATGTTCCATGATTTTCCCTTGAATCATCTACTGTCCCAGCTGGGATGGTAGCAGCATTAAAGATACAGGATTGGAGACTTGACGTGCGTCAACCAGAAAAAATCATCCACATTTCTTGGGCAAAGCCATAAAGAAACACCAAGAAACAACCAATTGGATCCAATTGGCAGATGGCTATGGATCAATACCTATTAATACCATTTTTAGTGGGATGAACATTTATTTACCAGCTATTTTGATGTTCACCAGGGGTACAAGGTTTTGACACACTGCCAGATGTTTATTGTATAGAGACAGAGAGACAGGGAAAGCATCTGGAAACCGAGCAATGTGGGACACACTCACAGTGTTGAATCCCCTTCTTGTTGCCCAATCTTTTAGTCATTCTAGTCCTTCAATTGAAATTCAATTCCAGATCAAAGAGTTTCAGTTGTGTCCATAATTTCTTCAAACTCCAGAAGTCTTTACATGTCTTTACTACAAAATTCCAAAGTCCGCTTTTTTTTGGGGGGGAACTTGTCCAATTTCCACTTCAAAGTCCTCCCCACTTCACTAGGCATCCGCTGAACGGACCTAGGAATCCGACGAGGGAATGGATGTGATGTCCAGTGTGGTGCCCGCACCTTGCCTTCATCGACTGGGGATCCAAAAACGCTGGGAAAATCAACGATCGAACTTATGGTTGAAGTCCCTGGAAAAAAATGAAGCTGAAAATATGGGAAAATCATGGACAATCAACTGTTAGTAGGATTTTCCCAGCCATTTTTTTGTTTAGAGGCTAGTGATATGGGCATCTAATGGGATACATAAGCAAGAAGATTATATTTCGATGTGCCTCTGAGCTGTGTTGGCCTTGAAGGATTTTGATAGCATCGAGATCCATCATGTGATGGGCAATGTTCAAAGGGACAGTCAATGGTTTGGGGATGTTCCGAATATCCTATCACGGTATCACCCAGTTTCAGATGCATCCATTCATTATGGTTGCAAATTTAGGTACTGGAGCATCCCAATTCATGTTTGACCCGAGTTTTAAAAAGCGACTCCAAACTTAGAATATTTTGAAAATTACTGAACTTGCCTGTAGTGCAAGACCTTTGTAAACCTTGGAGGGATAGTTTATATAGTACTTTATTGTTTTGTTTTTTTCCTGCATATACAGAACATATACATATTGTAAATGGGACATATACTCAACCTGGCGGGGTGACCACCGCGCTAGCAGTTGGCGTCAGCTTGAGAATGGGGTAAACTGGATATCCCAGGCGTAACATTCAATTGGTTTTTACAGAGCAAAACCTCTTCAAAGCACGACGTTTTTTTTTTCTCTCATGTCTTCAGTCGATTGCTCAAAGCGTGGCCTGTTATTGACATCAAGTCTTTCTTATCAGCTGGCCTGACAGCAAGGGTGGATGCTATATGACATTATATGCCAAAGAAACGTAATCAGTACTATGCTAGCGGGACAACATGTAATGTTAGCCGGTGCTACGACGTGAAGGAAAACACAAGAACAGAAGTTGCAACATGAATCGGATATATGTTAGAAAGTGCAAGAGAAGATCTCACAACGTAGCATTCTGGATGCTGGAAATTGCAAGAGCAAATCTCACAACGTAGCATTCAGGATGTTGGAAACTGCAGAAAAGATCTCACAACGTAGCATTCAGGATGTTAGACATTGCAAGAGAAGATCTCACAACGTAGCATTCAGGATGTTTGAAATTGCAAGAGGATCTCACAACGTAGCATTCCCATGTAAGCAAAGCAACATGAACGTTACTGGCCCCACCCCACCCCATGTTACAGGATCTAATCACATAGAAGAGCAGATCTCATAACGTAGAGTCAAGGAACGTAAGAAGACAAGTGCTGATGACACAACGACGTAACCCAAGACATGTGGTTCTTCGCCGCTGGCATGTGGGGATTGATAACTGTCAGTATCCAAAGGGAATCTGCAAGTGTTTGATAGGTATTTCGTTTGCAAGCGGGGGGATTCATTCTGCTGCCATGTTTTGTTACCTGAGGGTATTTACACATGTGATTTAGATATTAATGGTACCATCCAATTAACAGTTCGCACCTGAGACTGACCTGTCTTTGGTTGGAACGTGATGAACTTCCAACATCTTCCAACCCCCAACCACTCATGGCACTGTCGTCATGCTGATTTTGGGATATTTTGGGGGGAGTTGAATTTGGACGTGGATATACCATCCCCCCAAATAACATAGAATCTGGGTAAATTATAACGACCTCACTGCGACCTCACTGGGAATACTGGTTAATAAGGGGAATCATCCCCATCGTGGGCCTTAATTCAGGTTAGTGAAATATTGGAATTTACCCAGATAGAATCAAATCAACAAATTAAGTCCCCTGGTCCCGGGTGGTTAGATTTGGATCTACCACGACCAGTTCTTCCTGGAACTTACATGAACTGACACGTCGCCTGCAAGGTGCCACCCCATCGCGTTGTCAACGCTGAAGCTTGTCAACCAAGACCCAGCATGGGGAGAAGTTACGTTCAGGCCCCCCAGAAGATAGCTAAGTTGGCTTAGTTCACTTGATTCACAAACGTTTGTGGGGAATTTAACATGGTTGATGGGGGTGAAACTTCACCAACACACACAACTGGAGGGTGCCCCAGCTTGTAAGCATTGAAGCTGCCAAAAAGTGAAGCTGCCGAAATGATAGAAATGATACTTGGTTAATGGGTAGTTCTTGGTTGATGGATGCTGATCTCCGGTCGAATCTGATGGAGGGACTCACAAGCTTTCTTTTCAAATCATGACTTGATAACCAGTTGTTTGGTCAAGGGTGCAACCATCAAAATTTCATGAACCTTCCATCCACTCCTTGAATCAGAAATCCAGATTTACCGATTTACCGGTCATTTCACAGTGTATTGAACATCACAATTGTTGAAATACGGCAAATATCTGGGTAAATCATCAATGGCGAGTTTTCCAGAGCTATGTCAAAGCGAGAAAAGACATTTCTCTTTTCTGAGGTGCCTCCTCGGTCCGCCTACAAATCTGGGCAGAGCCTTCCAGAGCGCGCTGGGCGCGCGCGCCTCCAACATCAACGCAGAAGTTGAGCCGCAACGCGGACGGATGGGGAAGGGGCCATCAGCAGGTGCAGGGCATGAAATCCATGGATTTTACAATGGGCTCCCTTCTGGATGTTACATCCCAGATATCCCAGGAATGCTAGAGATTTTAATGCTGTGGAAAATGGATGAACATGGTCTGTTTCTAGAGCTGGTGTTGGATTCCCAGGGGAATTGTGGTGACGTGTAGGTGTGACGATACCTTGGATGCAGATGGTTATCTAGCAGCCGGAAATTCCACCTATTTCTAGAAATGCTTGATTTTTCATCTTCATGAAGAGGCTATACCAATGGGCATGTACATTGAATTTGCCAATTGACCAAATCCAAATCTACCATAAAACAACATGTGTGGGAACAATTACAGGCCAACCGCAAAAACAAAAAGGTACATATTGAAACCGGCAAGATTAGCTGATTGTCAGCAATCACGGCTATAACGATCCAACCGGCAACGGAAGTTGTACAGATTGGGGACCCAGAAGCCACTGTAGATGGTCTGAGGAGCGGATAGTAAATCATCCCATGCCATGCCCTCTGAAGCTCGCCACACCCCTCAAATCCATGGCGTTTCACCGGGGAGTTTGCGATGGCACCTGGACTTCTGGAGGGGGTCGAGCCTGTAAACTCTCTGATTTTGTTCGGCCATTTCCTGCAGGACGACTGGCAAATTGGCAAGCAGGGATACTTCAACGGTGATGAACATGATGAAATAAATATTGTGGAGATTAAATGAGATGAACAAAAATGCTCAAAGATCCTTGCAATATCTTACAATCAAGGCCAGGTCCACATAGGACCCCGGCTCAGCCACGGGCCGTGAGTGCTGACAGGGCTTGGAGCCTTTGTCTAGCTGCGACCCTCTGGCAGAGTCTTGAGCCTATCTTCTCAGCTTCTCAGCAAGTTGCCACATGGCTATGGGCCAATATTTTGGGCCCCTCAGACATAGGGATCATGAAATGGTCAGTTGTGGATTCACCATCCATTTGTGCCATCGCAAGTGTGACACCGCGGGACCGCGGCGGATCTACGATGAAGGGCACTTTGCTAGGCTTTGGACAGGGAAAGCTGGGTCAGGAGTCATCCAGTAGCCTTCTATGTGAGATAAAGAACATTTAAGATTGTTTAATCTTGACCACACACAAAGGGGTTCAAAAGTGCTTTGAGCTGCAAAAATGGGGGGAATCACCCAAACATGATGTATGGGGACCAGCTGGCTTGATGCAGGGGGATTTATCAAATACGGGAACCCGACCTGACCAGAGGGAATAGAGGCTTTCTCTTGGGCACTGCTCAAGTGTTTGAATCACAGCAGTTGGGGTATCTCCGCATTGTGCTGGGATGTGTTGGGGATACAACTACTTGGTCCTAGCATTTTTGTTGCCATTTCCAAGAATGGGACGTGCTGATCGAGAATTCACCAGCACCCGACTGGGTGAGTGGCTCAACCACCAGCTGACATCAGTTTCCGCCTCGTGATCTCCTTGCGGAGTTGCGGAGTCGACGGTCTGGCATTCCCTGGCCACATGAGGCAGTGGATGGAGTACGGATCGTGCAGATCCCCCATATGTTTGAAGCAATGCTACCAGCTCCCTGCGTGCATATTTCGCACAACGATGATGAGGTCTGAAGTGTGCCGACGCGGTGCTCAAAGGTTTGCCATTGCCCAGTGCTTTCGCCAGTGACTCTCAAACTCTAGCGTAGGGAAAGCATCGGAAGCGGGTTTGGCTTCCGAACCTGAATCAAAACCTAAATTCTCACAGACTCCCAATGATGGGAATATCTCCCAATGATTAGATTGGAATATCTTCCAAATCAAATGACAAGATCGCAATATCTCCCAATGATTTGGCACCAAAAAAGCTGCTCATGGAGCCTTCATCCATCCGTTCGAAAGGCAGCTTCGCCACAGGCGTTTTTGATCGTTTTTTGGTTATCCACCCAGGATTTGAGAGGCTGACATCATGAAAGATCCAAGACAAATCATCTACGCACTCTCCCCAGGTGGAACAAGACCAGTGTAACATCCTCTGAAGATTGGTGCAAACTTCAAATACGATGTGATTTTTCAATCTTGGAAATGGAATGAAGAATGAAGATCCCACTCAATTCGTGAGGAGGAAGGCTCAGTTACCAGTGGATGATCTCCAGTGATCAAACTGTCTCGAATTTCGGCTAGCGATTCCACCAACGGTTTACCACCATTTTAAACTAGCATTTGGGTACATCCGTATATCCCATTCTATCCATTTCTTATCCCCAAATCCATTGTTGTTCAAGGGTGAAAGACTATGGTTGATACTAATCCTTTGGTAGGTTTTTACCCGATTGTCCTTGATATCCCCATGCCCATTTCCCCAAATTTCATGGCTGTTCATCATGCCCAAAAAACCATTGAAACCACGGTCGCGGCCCACTTCGCACCTGCGGGCGGTGGCAGGGTCTTGATGGAGCCTTCTGTGAGTCAACTGGTAATTTTTTTGGGAAGCCCCAAAAAGGTCAAAAAGTTGGAAGCCTGGAAATGATACGGGAAAATAAATCGACTATACCATTCGGGAAACACAACTTTCTATATCTTTGTGGGGGTTGCAAGAATCATCAACGTTAAATCACCAGAGGGTAGATATTCTGTCGGGTTGATTTGCAGGGTTATTAATTATTAACCTACCTGGTTTATTCGGAATATTATTAATTATTAAAACAATTAAAACCTGTAGAGATTAATCAACCAGTATTTCAGGAGATGGGAAAGGACCAAACTCCATACAGGAAATGATGAAGTGTCAAATCTTGGGGAGCCTATTTTGAGTCCCAAATAAGGGTTTTCAAGGGGAATGTCATGAAATGGCATTGTTTTCGTGGCAAGCACCGAAGAACATTGGACTTGCATTCCATGGACCAGCCAAGACCCTCCAAAAAGCGCCCTGTCCGCCATGAAGAGCGAACCACCTGGGGCAGCCAGGATGAGGAGCGAATGGGCACCACCCAGGGTGGTCGTAAAATGTTGCGATCCGATTCTCGTTGAATCGTTGAGTGTATCGAATTGATGGAATGCTTGCCGTTTGTGAAGGGCGGGAATCTGAGATCCAAGATCCGAAGTGGTTCTCTCCAAGTTTCTGCAAGAGCTGAAGATCAGGTCAAGAGCCATCACTTCCACATGGAGGATCAGCCCATTGCTTAGCATCCATAGTAATATTACCATCTGGTTATTTAACATAGCCATGGAAAATCACCATTTTTAATAGGTAAACCATCTATAAATGGGCCATCTATACCATGGCTATGTTAAAGAACCAGAGGGTACATCATGTAAATTACATCCCATTTCTGGGTGGGATAACCCACGAAATCGGGACCCACATGAACCTCACACTCTGAATGCTTGAAAATCGCCCGGCTGTGGTTTGGAAAGGTGCAAGCGCATTTCATCATTTCCCCATTTGAGGGATTCCTAAGTCATTGGGGTACCCCCTAACATTAGACCATGACTTAGTATTGAACATGATTGAACCCCATGGTGACGACTGGGGATCTTTGGATACGAACAGCGCCTTTTGCTGGATATTTTTCAGTCAATCGGCCTGGAGGCCATAGTAGTAAATAATGGTTTTTGCAATGTTTGATTGCCGGAGGGTACCTCCAAAACCATGCGTGGCTTATGTTTTTTTCGCCCTTTAAACATGCAAAGAGTGTACCTGCAGAACCTCCATCATGATGTGTCTCCAGCGTCTCCAGCCCCAAAAAACTTCCTGACGCTTCCTGACGCTTCCTGACGCAGGTCTAAGAGGACCCACGACTTTTCTGTCCCTAAACCACCCCAAACCCATGAAAACTAATCGTAACAGTGTACTCGATGAAACATATAAATTTCCTGATCTATTGAACATGGCCTGAAGGGGGCTTTTGCTCTTGGGGATTTCATGGGCCTGATATATCCATCCTGGCAGCTGATAAGCTCCGAGAGAACGACCCAGACAAAATGAAAGGTTGAACTTTTGCTCAAAGCCCACAAGGCAAGAAAAAACGGATAAAAACGGTATGCAAATCATCCATCAGCGGAACTTGTTGCCATGACAGATAGAAAGTTTCTTTTGTGAGTCCCACCTCTTTTAACCCAGCTCCCTGCAGATCTTCCAGTCGAACTGCCCAATTTTTGCGAAAACACAGTGCCACATCGGCGAAGCCGAATGCTGGGACAAAGGCTGATGATGGACAAAAGATCACCAAATCCAGGGGAACCCCGAAAAAAAACAAGGTCATTGCCACATTGCACAATTGGGGGTAGTTTAAATGTGCAGTTTACCATGAAACACAATGACTTGAGCAATCATAACGAATATGGGTGTTCAAACAAACAGTTTGATACTTTCTTCTTTTGATATAGAATATGGAAATTTATGGAGTATAACCTGCTTTGTAGAACAAGGGAAACATGGGGGTACGCATGAGATTGTCATCTTAATAAAAAAAAGATGATAAGCCACTGGGAATTGACCATCAGCCGCTTGGGGAATCTAAAGATGCTGTCTGTTTTTTTTTGTTCGGGCGCTCCATTGGGCAATATGGCGGCATAACTGGGCATGACAAACAAATAGCTACCGGATTGTGACCAATAAACGCTGGGCAATGCTGGGCAAATCAACGGAATGATAGGCATGCATCATCCTTATTTGTTGTGTTTTTGCCGGCATAGTACCGAAGGTTGTCTACCTAAAAAAAGGTTCCCTCGCTGATCATAAAGCTTAAAAAAGGCAAATGCAGCACGTTTGCCATGTCCGTTAACATCAGATTTTGGCGAGAATTGTTTCAAACGATTTGGGGGTTTCCTTGAATGGGGGTACCCCAAAATGGTTGTTAAAATGGATGATTTGGGAGTACACCCATTTTAGGAAACCCCCCATTTTGGCGAGAAGTGTGTCGATGTGTGATGGATTCTCCATCTGAACCTGCATTCTCGTCTGCAATGCGGGAGGACACTTATTTTTTCATCGCGCAGTGGCCATGACTTCCTAATCATGCTGATTCGGGAATGAGTATCTACTCAATAATGTAGCGCTGGTAT